TTTCGACTTGATTTCCTTCTTGCGGGCATAAAAAGCGTCGTAAATATATAGTGAGAGATGGCTGGAAATCAATGGGGCAAGCTCCTGTTTGCAATTGGAGCAACTTCTTTACTAGTCGTCGAGGCGAGATGATGCGTGGTTAGAAAGAGATTGAGGACTTAGATGAGAATGGTAAGTGAGGCATTTTCGAGAAGTCGTCAAATGAAGATATGCCTGAGGTTGCTTTTGACTTCGATTCGGATGCGATTCTTCTTGAATATCCCAGATATGCAGAGTATACTGAGCGATTATACCGGCACCACCGGAAGGTGAAGAATTCGTCTTTGCCACTATTTAGTTATTTATCGTGAACATAAAGCCCTTTTACTCTCCCATCGCACAACACAGCCATATACTCGTTACCTATCCTGATTCCTTATCCTTGTGACTTGTTCCTGTTCCTTATCCAGCAACCCAGATCCACCGCTGTGACAACCATTCTTACCCCAACCCCTATCCACAGCAAGAGCAAAAAGAGAAATTTCTCTGTTGTATAACGCTTTCTGTATTCGAGCAAGACCCTCGTGATACTAGAAACTAGGAATAACAGTTAAATTGTATGGTCTAAGTCCACCTGCACTTGGAGCGTTAATTGCAGCTCGTTCCGGACACGAAAATACCCTAATGACTTGCTCCCGTGGCGCAGAAAAAAGCCCAGATGACTTCTTTTACTGTAGTATAGGAAGAAACCGTGCCCGTTTTCGCGGTAGACCTCGACATCCTCACCCTGACATCAAATGAATACTCAGCACGCCTAAAGGCGCCCTTGCCTTCGGAAACTGGGTCGAGCGGACGAAGTTCAACGAACACACTAAATTTCCCCTAGGAAAGAAGGTATTTTGTGGTGAAATAATGTCGGGTGAAAGGACTCACAATATCTTCTTTCGTAGCGCTATCTTAATTCATTAGACAGCCTGCGAGCGTAATAACAAACTACTTGTAAATCACAAAGTACCTGGTAGAGAGAAATCTGCTACATTTAGATTGAAAATCAGAGCGGCGGACAGCTGTTTGTTTGTTCATCAACGTGCTAGGTTACATGACTCCTGCCGCACTCCTACTGGAGCTTGAACAAGAGTGGGGTCGGGCCAGATTAGGTTAGCTGCTGTAAAGTACAAATATACCTCGTCCCATCTAAATGACCAGACCACCTCAGACTTCACCTATGTGTTGAATCATACCAAGCTTGACCGTCCAGAAACCCGCTATATAAACGCCGTAGCGCAGATTTCTCCTGAGCCTCCGCCACCACGCGCTTGAGCCCTTGACATCCTCATTGACTCCGGTATATAAATTTCGTCCCAGATCTCTTCGTATCTCAGCCTTGCACCTTCATATCGTACCGTCGGGTTGTTGTCGTCATTGGGAATTTGTGTAATCCCCTTGGTGTATCTTCCCTTTTATTCCTCCTTTTTACACGTCCCGTTTCCATCATGACTTTCCTCAATAGGGCGTGCGAAGGTAGGTGATGTGATGAGTATGGAGGTGGGTCACAGGTGTAGAGTCGGCTGAGATGTGGATTGTTGCAAGTATATATGGAGTTTGAGAGATGTCGGATGTTTGAATACGACCCCCAGATAGACCTAGGCCCATTCGTGAATCGTATGTTGGTGGTGATGACTTTTTGTTCGACGTTATTCCGGCTGTGAAATCTCTGCCGACTGATTTTTCGACCAAAATACCGAGTACAACTCCTTCAAGCCGAAATTCCATCCTTTTTCGTGACTGAATCTCGGCCCTGAGAGAATATCACAGCCCCAGGTTCGTAGGGGATACCACTGACAGGTGTTCAGCCTTCGTCTTACCGGCAGATAGCCGGTCGGGCTATTCGATATTTTCTAGGGGCTTCAGGATACGCCAGTCCGTCGAGTAGTTCTGTCGGGACTGAGCTTTGTACTGGGAAGACAATCAAATAACTAAATTAAATATCAAAATCTTGCACCTGCCACTGTGTCACACCGAAGGTTTGAAAACGGAATAGTTCTGTTGAGGTTACAAATTTAGTGATTATGAAGTCAATCTTTCGATATGGGCAGTATGAGATACTACGCAGACTTTTGGCCAGGCCAATGGTTCACGAACAGAAAGCCTTTGGTGGGGTGAATGATTATGAAATATATCGACTAAAGAAAATTGAAATGATGCAAAAAGTTGTGCGATCTCTCTGACGGGGAGTCGAACCCCGGTCTCCCGCGAGCTTTGTGACAAGCGGAAATCATAACCGTTAGACCATCAAAGAACCTTTAATGAGTTGTCAGGACTAAGTAAAGTATATATTTATATAGTTTTTAGTGCTGGTGATGGCTAGGATTACGATGCACAAGGGTAATGATCACTGAGGTTGAAGGAAGAACTTTCTTTGTGACTCCATGACGAGTAGAGGAACAATGGAGCACTATATAGAAAGTGTTTCTAGATTGTACTGCCAGATGGAGGATACTAGAATATTGCGAGATACTTTTTTGGGCAAATAAGGCGAGAGTCTGGCTACCCCAGATGTGTATTTACTAGCGCTTTCTACCTCCCGAATCTCATAGTTCTGTATACCAAATATATATCAGCAATTCACATTGATTTATCGATAATCATCTGTAAATATTCTGCCAATTAACCTCCGCAAGCTCTTACCTTTACAACAATTTTTGGGGCACACTGTGATATCACAACTCACCATATTATGATTAATTGTCATGTCGAAGTCTATGACCACCTAGCATATCAGGCTCCTCTTTGAATCTGGCCACTCCATCTTTTGCTGCGAAAAAAAAAACACCCAACATAGTGCTCATGATGGATTAGCATTAAGCTCAGCCTAGACACACAGACTTCTAATTTTACTAGAGTACGACCCTCGAAATCTATTCAAATACACTAAATTATACAAATTGTAACCTATGATGTTTGTTTATGATGCGAGTTGTTTATTGTACTAGAGTCATGGAACATCTAGGACATTGGGCTCCTTTCTGGCCCAGGCCACACTTTGTATAATGCTCCTTACCTCTCATGTTTCTTGAAAAAAAGCATTGATATATCGCCCTTGATGAATAGCCATTCAGCTTAGTATTTACCCGTGGAATTCGGCCACCTTTTCCACGGAATCATTCCCCAAAAAAAATAAAAATGGTAGCAATGGGAACTGCGTGCGCGGGAAAAAGTCTCAAAAAACCTGCAGCCCCAGCCAGGCGAGGCCTAGACACCGGGACCACATGAGGTACGCATATTCATCTATATCTCCCTTCTTTGTAACAGTTGAGGCCGACTTGATCCAATTCACCATCTCCATATCGGGTGCTGGGTACGCTCCGGAAACTTATCGGATGGCTTTTCCTCCATGATCAAGGGTTGGTGATGAGTAGGGCTCCGACCCTACCATCTGATCTGATCGTGGTTAGCTTCATGGTAATAGTGATAGGGTGGTGTGTTGAGAGATGAAGGCGATATAGGCCGCGAAAGTGATTGGGAATCCTCGTCAGAGTGAGGACGTTGTTACTCAATCTCGGCTCTGCAGACTCTACAGTGAGAGCTGGAGGTTCGTAGGGGACACCACTGACGGGTGTTGAGAATAGTCCCCAGGTTCCAATCTAACCTGGCTATAGCCTGTAATACCGCAATCATCTTGTAGCCCACGTTCACCAGCACCTATTACTAAGATTTATGCAGGGTCTCACACGCTTTCCTCAACCAAGTAGATTCGTCGAGTGAAGGATCAACCTCAAGTAAAGCCTTGGCTACCGCAATGTGTCCAAATTACCCCCTCTCATGACGGAGCTATGCGTGGTGTAATCTAGTCCTGCTCAGTTAAAGCCATCCATCACCTATTTAGAATGAGATAGTAATCAGACTATCCAGAATCTCTATGAGATGCCGACCCAGGCGCCATAGAGTAGTGACGTCAGGCTCTCTTATGTGGCGATATGGGTGAAGATGGGAACGCCACTTGTTAAGACCCATAGCGTTATCGTGGATGCCGGATTGTTATGCTCAGCTATGTAGTATGGTAGATCTAGTAGTTGGTGCATAGGTAGTTATTATGGCGCATGAAGGAGATCCAGTCTCTACAGAACAACATTACAAGTAGTAATTTGTGTAGTACGAGAGATGGGTTGTTGATATTGAACAAATGGCATGGCGGCTCATTTGGGAGCACACTTTGGTGAGCCGCATACTAATTACGTGATCGGCCTACAAGCGAACAAGCTAGGGGATAAGGGACGAGCTTCCCCCAATCTGTAACATAACAACCATCATAAAAAACTTCACTTCTGCATATTAATGAAGATATCTCTCCAAACACTATCCCAGCTGTTCCAGCGCAAGAGTACATTCCCAAATCATTTAGCAATGATAATACGGATCCATTTTCATCCGATTTGAGTTGCACTACGATAAGATGTGATGAGAGTCTCGGCTGTATCTTAGACTACGGACCAATCGACACCGACACAAATTCTCAATTTGGTATAATTTTGAGTTTGTCGGTCGGTAATATACACGTGTAGGCGTACGCAATGGGTCTCTCTCTGATGCGATGATTCTTCTTAGATACAGGTGTGTCAGCCTTAGGGGCGACACGCCAAGCTGCATCTAGGCACGTGACTAACTATCAACACATTGTGATCTCTCTCCTGGCTCATGTACATCCCAAAATAGCCCCCTCGAGCTCCAGCATCTTCAAGGGACCCAAAGAAATTTTTGCTAGGGGCCGGGGAAGGGGTCCCACGTGTAGCAAAGTGGCTTTCCCTTTCCGAGTTTAACACGAGGACCTGCCCTAGAAATCCCAGAGAAGGAATAAAGAGGTCTTAAAATCTGCCTCAACTTTGAGCCATGCGTTATGAATGGGTGGTTTGGTATCTCGGAATGGATATATTAGTAGTCTCCCGAGAATGGGTGTAATACATCAAAGGAGTAAAGAGCCTCGGCGACTAGCTGTAAAGGTGTAGGTGCTACGCGACACGCAATCATGTAATTAGAAAATTTCCTTGCAAACCTAGTTGGGAAGTGGCCAGGGCGAAGCTACCAGTGCAGTAAGCACTGGCGCCCATGCCTCTAGTTAGTTTAGTGGGTAGTAGGGACCTAAGCCAAGGCTTGGTGCCCCGACGGACGAAAAATAGAAAAAAATAATTGTGCTGCGACAGAATTTAACATTGAAGAATTTCCCAAAATTACAGAGAATCAAGTGCTCGTATGCTGTCAAACGAACATACGACCCGAAAGAGTCTTTTAGTCATGCGGTCGATGAACTTCCAGGCACCAGAGATATCCATATTCCGCATTCTTACCGCACACGCTCCTGTGCATCATGATGGCCCCCGGCACCCGAGTGAACTTTTGTCCACATTCATGTTCACATGAGAACCAGGGAGATTTCAGATTATGCCATAATTCCTTCATCAGCACGTGTGCATTGGCCACATAAAACGCGCTCAGCTTGCCGGGACGTGGATGAATCTTCTACCTCAAGTGGAATAGACTTCGCAGCCATCAAGGCTACTTGCAGGACCCATCTATCACACACATACCACTGCAGCATCAGTCCCAAGGATCCAGCTGGCGAGGTTTGTGGAGCGAAATTCATCTCCTCCAGCCAGTATCCATGGAGTCGCGGGCGTAAAGTTGAAGGCCAGCCTGGACCAGAGACTGGATCTATGAGAGCTGTCGTCATGGAAATCAGAATGCACTAGGTCTTTCCGGTATATTTGGCAGAGCTTCGGGCAGAATCGATCTTAAGGGTGGTAGAGAATTAATGTGGTTATTATTAATCATATTATTGTCCTTTCTCAGGTTATGAATATACAGAACGTGTAGGTCCTCTCTGCCCGCAGGCCACAGATACCTATTATTCGACGTTGTCAGGTGTAAATTTTTTCCCGATAAGTGTATACTATAATCGAGCTACAGTGTGGCGGCATCGCAAACGCTGCTTCAGTCCAGGGCTCCTTAGCTCTACCTTTGCCTCACCTGATGTTACGGGCTGTGCCCGGTTCGGTTAGGCTGGTCTATCTTTGAGGCTCAGTCTCGTCCCAGGATATTAATCACGTGATACGACATAGGGTCGACTTTCACGACTCGAATCACTCAGTTAGTTATGTGGGCCCCTTCTTTGTTTGGGGAAGCTGGGAGCCCCCGGTTTCTAGGGCAGTCAGCACTGGCGTCCTTTTCCAATTCGGGACTGGTGTATTGTAATCATTAGTTAGACCTTAAATACCAAACAAACAACAAACAAACTCAGGTAAGTATGCTGAAGCTGGGAAATAGACCACTCAGTAGCGAAGGAGTACATGTGGGAAATCTAGATCACTTTTGGCTGCAGAGGGCATATTTAAGGTGACGGATTTCCTGCACAAAATATCTGTAGATAAATCGTGATTCCTTTTGGTATTATTTACGCACAGTGTCCGTAATTATCCTCGCCCTTAACACTTGGCATACCTATTCAATTCGCGGCACATGATATCGAGATAACGATAAGCTACTAAACCATGCGCTCGATTTTAAAATCAACGGCATCTTAAGCTCGGTCTAATATACTAACCCTCTGTGGACCTCACAAATTCCGCAGTGAGAATAGATCCCGCTTGGCAATGTCACAGCGCGTGGCGATATTCTCGACCAATCTTCACGTGACATTCTCGTCTTTCACGTCTATGGCCCAGCCCTCACATGTGCACTGCACGATACCTTGAACGTTAGCTAGGCCTGGTCTGTGGGGACACTGGCCACTTTATTTTGCGCCTCAACGGCCCGAACGAGTCCGTGCCTAAGTCCCTGCTCCGCCTATCGACCTCTAGCCAGGGTTGGTAGACGATGTAAGTCCTTGCCCATGCTAACCGCTAGCCCACGACATCCTTTTCAGTTGCCAGTGATAGATTGATCCACCCTACCATGACTCTACAGACATCTAAAAAAGTCCAAACGTGCGGCTATCTCAAATCCTTTAATTCTCATCTCTTTCGGGTTACTGAATCTACGTGATGTCTAATGGTACAATGAGTTTGTCACTATATTCTTGGAAAGAGAGACTATTAAGGCGTTAGGCGGCTGAAATTTGTTTTAATATATATACATTAAAGGTTAAGTCTCATGTTTCCCTAGAGCTATTCAGGAAAGGGGAGTGGGTATTTGACGCTAACAAGCTAAGAGAAAAAAGAACATTCCACGAGAAGACCAAGTTTGAGGACCATTTCCCATCACTGTGAGCCTGAAATCTCATGTTATGGCTTGTTAGAGATGTAGATGCCTTGTCCACAGCCACCTCTGAAATTCGTGTTGGCTGAGTCCCTTTGGCTGATCGGTTAAGCGACTCCTCCACTTCACTGAGACGCCAAAGCTGAGATGACTTTGTGGATTTTGACTGACAGCCGACATCTCTATAACGCTAGTACTATCTGGGCCTTCAGCGATAGTCTTAGCCTCACAAAAGTATTCTGCAAATGTTTTAGCTCGGGCTAGATCACCATGCATATTGCAGAGCTGGAACGCATCGTAGAATAATCGCGACAGCCGGCCATCCCTAATTTGCTCCAGCTCAAAGATTTCAAAAAGTTCGGCGCAAGCTGCCATGACAATGCTAGGCTCGTTCGTACACCTCTCTGGGTCGCCTATAAGGTAATCAAGCTCCTGGGCACGTTGGAGTCGTTTGTCCGATATGGCAAGTTGGGGTGCAGGTAACAAGCATAATTCGCAGCGGCATTGAAAGCCGAAATTCTCTTGAAGTACACGTTGCCGTGTGGTGGATGGTCCTCCGAAATGATAAGATACCGTAATTTCCTGCCCAACTTGTATAGGGCTTACACAATAAATTGTTTCGCAGCTATGAATGGTGTTCCAGTACTGTACTGCATTGGGTCGACAGCTATGGTTTATTCGTGAAATGGTCTGAAAAATACCGCCAATGCTGGCATTGACCCCAAGAGGATATAAATTAGAGCGGACAATGCCTGCGAGAGGGTGTGCAGGGTCAGTTTCCGCGTGGTTGTTGTGTAGAGAATGATAGGCTTCACGTTTCTCCGGAGGGAGAGCTGCTAGAGCAGCAGATAGTTCGAATTCAGTTCGAGTTGGAGAGAGCGACGTAATGCTGGCAGTGGTGATGAGAGGGCTCTCCTTGAGGATTATAGTACCAGCAGCGATTGCTTGACGGGCAACAAGTCCAAGCCCCTTTCCCGGAATTTCCTGAACAGCACATAAAGATTTGTCGGGAGTTTGTGAGGTATTGATGGTGATTTTTAGATGACTACCACCGACAGTAGTGCGTGGCTCGACTCGGGGAGCTACAGCAGCAGCCATAGCGAAGTTAAGGGTCGTCTAAGCTAGAGTTATTCAAAAAGTGAAGCAAGCGACGTATGATTCCAAGAGAGCTACGCGATGAAAAGAAAGCTGATTTGGTAGTAGTAGAATGGAGGAAAGAGCAAGATGCTGTGATAATGAGGTAGGTGATCAGGTTTAAGTATGGAGGTCGATGGCTCGTTATTTCACGTGATCCACAATCATGTCTGCCACTCCCCCACCGGTTCGGTTTGGTGGGGAGGATTCAGGGTTGATCGAATAGGATATCACACCCGCGCTTCCGTTGATGGCAGCGAGTATAGGCTATTGATCGTCCTAGAGATTTGAACAATATATTTTGGCGGCCGAGGACCGAGCGGCGGGAAGATAGGATCATTATTCCCCCTCCCCTAAGTGCAGCATGCGCGCATCTTCCCCGCTTGTTGAGAGTGATGATATTGAAATTGAAAATTTCTCGGGAAGAATGTGAAAACATACTAGAATTTTTGGGGTGTCCAAAATTATCAAGATTACTTGTGCTGACTGATATTAGCTTTAGCTCGTCGACAAGTAATACTCAACAACATGGCAAGGTGGATCAGGCTCGACAAGACGATCTTTGATCGAGGAGGCAAGAAGCTAGATCGTCATAGGAGGTTAGTTTTTTCAGCACAACGAATGTTTAGGAAACAGAACTCCTTTGTCTAAACTGCTGCCGATTTGCGGATCCAAGACTGGAGCGACAGTTGAAAAGTGCATTTTCGGGGAGAGACAAATAGAGAAGCAGCTAGTGGCGTACGTCCTTCGGTTTGTCAACTGAAAGCGGGATACCTAACTCACGGAACATAACGCGTCATCAGCTAGAGAAGATACAACTGTGCTGGTTGTCTTATTAATGAGTTAGGACAGTCTTTGCCAGAGAGCCTGGTGGAGCTTGGGATCCTAGCTCAGCACACAGACTTCTCAGCTCCCAAATGTCGAGCCGCTCTATCCGACTGGGAGGCGGATTAATGAACAGCCGAGAGCTTCGTCTGTGCTACTTAATTTTTCACCAACAACTAGAATTGATAGACACCAATCTTTGGCCCCATCTTATCCCAGCGCCCTATGGTCTCAACTAAAAGTCTTCGATCCAACGACCTAGAGTCTCACATTTCTCCCACTTTTCCAAGCCGTTTCTTCCTGGGCCCGATAGACCGCATCGTATCTACTGACCACGAGCAGTAGAGCCTATTGTCGCCACTTCTATCTGTAAGGTGACGCGAGAGTCAGGACTCGCCGATAGAGAGGAACTACATTGGTGGATCGAGCCCCGCATGTGTAGCCACTAAAGGAACCGCTGCATTGGCCTAGAAATCTGAACGTGCCGTGGTTCTCGGACGGAGTTGATAGAAGCACTTATTTCCTACGATAGTTCGTCAGCTGTCAAGGCCATGGAGAGCTTGTCCCAACATTAGAATGTCAACCTCAAGGTTTTGCCTCTATCATAACCCGCAGACCCAAGAGGAGCCATGTGATAATTAGAATAAGGGGAAAATGATGAAGCCAATAAGTTTTGTCTACCGGCGCTTCGTCTTAGTCGTGCACGTTCTATTTTTTTCGCATTGTCCAGACTTGGAAAATTTTCGATGTGGGGAAATAAAAGATAAACAAAGAATGAGTGGTACTCGATGTAGTCTTGGCAGCTCCATGGAACTTTGGATACCCTTTTTTTGGACTAGCTCTATAATCTCCGCTACGCTGACATCATAGCTTTCAACGGACCTCCACCAATTTCGAAGGAGTCCTTTTTACACAGAAAGAAACGCTTCAGATGTTCGTAACACTAAACTGATCCATACCACAACTAGTTGGTATGAGAGCTATCCACGGGCCTTGAGCAATCTCAAAATACATCAATTCCAATACGAATCTCTTGAATGAATAGCTAGATACAGTCATGTAGAACATTTATTAGTGGTCATTCGTTTATGCTTCTTTATCATCTGGTTCATTTTACCAGTAGTATTTTTATCACGTGCTAGCGCATTTACTTTCAGGCTCCTTCATTACTGAGTCTCCACGCAGTTTTTGGATGCTGTAACTTGGCCTGATTGATAGTCGAGTAGAATTGATGAGGGCAGCAAGTGAACTAAGCTTTTTTTCGTTGATATTGATTCAGGTCAGATAAACAGTTCTTCGAGCAACGTGCACACAATTGTCTCCTTGTCAGGGTAGACTCACAGTATATGTGATAGTCCTGAGTTTAATCATATGCCATCAGGTGCGAGTGTGACTCTGGGCTCAATAGGACATACTATGTTGGCCCGAATTCGTATGACTAAGGATTTTCGAGTCTTTAAGATATTATGGAGATGGATTATATCCAAGTCACTAGAGCCATAGAAGCCATGTCCTGCCATGAAACTAGACCAAAAGTGAGTTGGAACCCTTCAACATTCGAAGATCAGCTCTAGCCCAAGAAGATCATTTGCATCCGTTGCTATGCATGGACACGGTCGCCCACATCGTTTCCATCATCTTCTACGTCGTCATTCCGAGCACTTCGCAAACACATGCTGTGTCGAGGATCCATAAGTTTTGGGAATGGTCGATATGAATTCTCTCCATCTGCAAACATCTTCAGCGAGTTTATCAATTCATAGCCAATTATTGAATGCTTTTCTCGGGCGTAGAGTTGGGATGGAATGCAATTAACGTGAGGTCAACAGACACAAGTTCATTTAGCTAGATTTTGTACGTATTCTCATATTTTCCAACGAGAAAAATTCCCCATTTGATGTATATCCCGCCTATGAACTACAAGGCCATCCCCAGTAGCACATAGCTAGTCGAAATCTCTTTCAAGAAAAAATTATTGTTCGGACCTGAGCTGGTGAAACTTCGGGCCTAACGGATAAATAGCAAATAGATTTGTACGATATAGCCTACTTTATTCTGTTTGGGCAGTTACTTGGGCCCAGCTTCACCCTCTACAAATTTGAGTGCGTCATCACGTGTTACTACACCAATTCCACTCGTTTTATTATGAAATGTTACTCCATAACATTTGTCAGCTACTAGTAACATCTCAGGCCGGAAAGTCGTGCAGATGAATTGTCCACTCATGCTACTAGTCGTTTCTACATTGTCGGCCGAGCCACCAGTTTCTACGTTTTGCGACTGCTGCATTGAGATTTCCTGAAGCATTTGGGCGACGGCAGTGCGGTATTGAGCATCTAGATTAGCGTCGATTTCATCGAAGAGGTAAAAGGGTGCAGGATCACATTGCTGGATGGCAAATACGAGAGCAAGCGCACAAAGACCTGAAGAAGACATTAGTAAGTGCGTATAAGAGAGAAAATGAAAGGACATGTTACTCTTTTGCCCGCCTGAGAGTTGTTGAATTCGCTGTTGCTCATCATCTTTACTGTTGAAAGATACGCTGATGCCTACCCCTGTGTAATTTTCCACACTCTCACGCTGCTCTGGCTCTGATATATCTTCATCGCGAGCAGGACGGTCAGCCTTACGCTGGATGACAAGGCGACCGCGACCAGCTGGAACGAGACGTTCAAAAATGGAGGCAAACTCTTTAGAAACTTGTTTGAATGTCCGCTCAATCGCTTCATCTTTACGCTGGTCTAACACCTCTACTAGTTCTTGAATAGACGATTGGGAATCATCGAGCTCTTTTCTGCGCTTAATCAGTCCGTCTCGCTGTGTCGTGAAGTTGTTGTACTGCTCAAAGGCCTTTTTGTTTACATGCTGATACTTCTTTAAAGCTTCGTGAACTTTTTTGAGACGCTTCGTTATCTGAACGCTATAAGTACAGCCCAAAACTCATGGATATCAGCTTACAGTTGCAGACTCGGCACTTGTGTACTTTTCAAAGGCCTCGTCTGGGAGGACACCCAAATCACGGATAGTTTTTGCACAAATATCAGCTTGCTCTTTTAATATGGCCCGCGCTGCGACTGCCTTATCCATCTTGAGTTTGTTTCGGTGAATTCGGGCAGCAAGATTATTCTGCTGCTCCATCTGTTTTGCGTGCTCATCTTGAAGCTTTTTTACTTTAGTTTCGGTTTTCTCAATCTTAGTCTCGCATTCTTTTAATTTCAACTTGGCGGCCGAGACAGTTTTTTGCGCACGCTCAAGTTCTTTCTGAGCATCACGAAGGTTCCCCAAACCTCCACCAATAGATGCGTCAATCTCTTGACTATTTAGTTGATCCAGCTTCCGACGCTCATTTTGTAATTTAGCCTCCAATATTTCTTTTTGACCTTGTAGTTCACGACGAGCGTTAGAATACTCATTCCGTTTCGGGCGAAGCTCTTGAACAATAGAGTTCAATCGATCTAGTTCCTGCTCTTCGTTAGAATTTAGTGATTTTCGAAATTCCACCTGAAGCTCGGATTGATGAGCACTGATGCTAGCTATGAGCTCTTTAACCAGTCGATCGATCTCTTCCTGGCGATTCTCATGATCCACTAATTGCTCTTTTTGCTTGAGTAGAAGTGAAGTTTTAGCTCGAAGCTCATTCTTGAGAGGCCCCAGACTATCATCAAACTGATTAAGCTTCTGTTGAAGACGGTGTTCCTCTCCCATCGCTGCTGTTATCTCTACATCTTTTTCTTCTAGTCTCGTTTTGACTGTATTAAACCTATTTGTAATAGCTTCAAGTTCGTCGCGTTTCAGACTAACTTGACGAACAGCTTCAAGGCGAGATCTCCTAGGATCAATGTAGCCTCCCGTCATGGCTCCTCTTTTGTTTGCGGTATCTCCATCAGGCGTTATTGAATTACAGCCATGACTTCGTGCATACTGCGCCGCTACGGTCAAAGAGGGACAGACGATCGTTTTACCAAATACCTGATTCATGGCATCTGCAAATTTCTTTTCAAAGCTTATCTTACTAATGAGTGGTATAGCATCAGAAGCGTTGGGGAGTTTCATAGGATTGTATTGTAATTGAGCTAATGGTATAAACGTTACTCGGCCACCAAAGTTCTTCTGGAGCTGTTCCATTAGTAGAGACCCAGTTCCTTCATTATCAACGATGTAATGGAATAAACTGTTTCCTGCAGCTTGCTCAGCAGCGATTCGGTAGGCTTCGGGTACCTCTATTAACTCTGCTAGGGTTCCATATGCGCCTCGAATATTTTGCTCTCGTTTGAGGCGTCTAACAGTGGCAAGGCCTCTCGAAGTGGCACCATCCATGGTGTGGGATAGATTTTTCTCCGCTCGATCTCTCTCCTGTCTTGTTTCTGTGCTTGTTTGGCTCAAGTTTTCTTCTTCACGGCGAAGTTCCTTTCGTTCTTCGCGAAACCTTGATAATTCGTCCCTAGCTGAGGATACATCATCCTGAAGTGTTTGTCTACTTTCATTCCATTTGTGAAGCCTTCCTCGTAGTTGCTCTATCTCATTTTCGAGTTGTTTTGTTTGAAGCTGTGTGGCTTTGACGTCTTCATCTGCACTGAGACGATTCGCTTTTTGTTTAGCTAAGGCTTCCTCTAGATCATGAATTTCGCCCTCCAGCCATTTATCACGCTCTTCCTTTGTCTTGAATTGCTGGCTACGGCCCTGCTTTGTCAAAAGAAATGCTTGGCGCGACTCAGCTGCGTCCAGCTCATTTTTTATTTTAATCTCAGCTTCTTTCTTCGCAGCTAGATTTGGGAGTAGCTGTGCTAGGGTAGATTCACTGGTGGATATATTTTGTTTCACTTCCTCTAGATTTCCTAGGTGCCGGGCTCTTGCGGATTCCGTCGCTGACTCACTATCTGACAAGGTCTTGAAGCTCAACTCTAGATTTGCTAGAATTCTAACGCTTTCCTTGCGATCTTCATCTGACTCAACCTTCTCGCGTTTTAACCGCTCCAACTGTTGATTTAATTTCTTAATTTCAGCATTTAAGTCTGATAGCGCCTTCTCCCCCTCCTGAAATGCATCCTGAACATCATCCGTACCTTCTGCCCCACCTTGGCGAAGTTCATCGATCTCCTCGACTTTGGCCGTGAGAGTTGTTTGTTCGCGGTGGTAGTATGCATATTCTAGACAGCGGCGATCTCTATCTTTTTCTTGAAACCCACGAAGTTCTTCCTTTTCTTCTTCTAGTTCGGTAAGCCTCTCTCGAATGTATTCAAGGGACTCATCAATCTTAGCCCGTTTACTACCAGTTTCTGCCATAATTTTCAGAGATTCAACTCGTCTAGACTCATAAACTTTTGTCCCTGCGACTTCTTTTAGTAGATTTAATCGCTCTGCATCTTTCATGTTTGTCAATGCAGTAACTCGACCCTGTGGCACGATATAGTACGGATTAGAACGAGAAAAGCCTGCAGATTCAAGAAGATTGACGACATCGGTTTTAGTAACATTTTTACGGTCAAGGGAGTATTCGTCTTTCTTCAGGCCAATAGTACGACGTAGAATTACTTCATCTTTTCCCGTTGGAAATCGATCATCGCTATTGTCGAAGATAATCTCTACGTATGCAGACATGACTGCAGAGCCGGAACCTTCATGAAGAAGTGCTTGTCGCTCTTCGCGTCCCATTTGGTTATATGCATCACTCAGAACAAATCTAATGGCGGCAAAAAAGTTACTTTTTCCGGACCCATTTCGTCCGACTATGACATTTGTCTTTGGGGAAAATGGTTCAACTTCGATTTGATCTTTATAGCTTAGACGGGTCAGCATATATCTTGGGAATCTCACGATTTAAATCACCTCTTGAAGCCCTGGATTATCATTTGCTTGATGTACATCTCTAGTTTCAAGCCCGAAGGCTGTTAATAAGGCGTTGGATTTTTTAGGATGTAAGAATACAAGCAATGCGAACCAAATTTAGGCTTTGTTTCGAAAATGGTCACCGGCTACAATCATCAATAGCTACGCGCCGACCGTACAGTTGACGCGTCAGGTACGCATTTATTTATAGCCTTAGGCCACCAGTTTAAGATTTATTTTTAATCATTTGTTTGATTGCTGTTCGTATCAGGCATATGCCCTACACCCAAAAGGCGTGATACGAATATGTGATCTATACAGACTCACTACTACCTACGTGCATGGCTTTATTTGCCAAAGAACCCATAAGAAATAAACATAAGAAAGCAATGCAGTGTGTCCAAACAAAAGCGCCCTGCGCCCTGCGCCCTGTCCTATTCTTCCCAGCAATTGAATATTAAAATAACCACTGATACCCCTAGGGGGGCTTATAACTCTCCATCTACGGCCTTTTCCCTGTAATCTCTCGTTACAGTTGCGAATTCGATAAATTTTTCCCAACCTTTTCCTCACAGCATCTCTTTTTTTTTAATCATTCAATGTGTATTCAGCTTTTTAGCTATGACACATGACTGGTGCTATGTATACATATTGGATGATTCTTTTGACGTGAGAGACACTCATACTCTGGATTGCATTCGCAAATACCAGTATGAGGTATGCTTGCTTACACAAACAGTCGACCCTCCTCTATAAGTACTCACCAAAGGGAAATTCGAAACCTTTGATTATCCAAGCATGCCTTCGTCATCCATGTATACCACCGCCGGGAGAATTGTAGTTTAGTTTTGCCGGATTTGAACCAGCGGTCTCCTGTCTCAAGTGTAACATGTGTCCTAACTATCCAGACCTTACTTGGGAGAAGGGCCAGATGATGTACCACTGCACCATCCAACCTTGGCAACCTGTATAAGATATGACAGTCTGGGCGCGTCTTTCGGGTCATCTTATGTAACACAGCTTAAAGGTGGCGATTTAAAGTCTACAATAACTGCGTATTACTCCCCTTGCCTATTCTCGGCCGCTTGTTTCAAATTTTAAGTGCTCTGTTCTATCGACAAGGCGAGAATACTAATATCAACTTCAAATTCTCCTCTCCTACCCCCTTTCTAGACTACAACACGCAGTATCCACTGTCAGAAGTTTTCATCCCATCAACCACTGGAGGCGCAAAACCCTTACCCAACATCCTCATCTCGCAAGCGAAGCGAAGACTCTCCTTAGCACTTTTATTAGTTTTTATATTTTTAATTAACGTGGTAGACAATTAGTACCTGCAGTGACCTTGCATGAGTTTGGGCACAAGCATGACCAGGCAGACTGAGGTCAAATACGATAAACTTCATAAGTCTCGCCCATAGTAGATGTTAGAATCAGTTCAGACTCCATCAATCGGAATTTAGCTGCACTTAGTGTTATGAAAGCGCTTTTCACATTAGTAGTGATTTGTCGTTCACGTAGTGAAGCATCCAGATACAGGGAAATGGAAATAGGTAAGTGATAAATTAGACGCCACCAATCACAAAATTCACCAGTAGATTAATTCTAAACGAGACTAGCTACGGCGCTATCTGGAAGTATGAATGAATAAATATTTTATTCGTTACGGACACAAGTCCTGCACTCAAAGAGCAAGACACGAAGAGGACTAGCTTTTCAGACGACGATACGACGAAAATTCGGTTAGACTCTTGAACCACTCATGTAGTGGGTACATTCGCTGATACCATTCGAGACCTTGGTGCTAGGGGCTTTCATCCTTCCCTCAACCGTTAATATCCACCAAAGGGAAAACAGGAAAAACCTTTGGCTACCCTAACATGCCTTTGTCATCTTGTACCTAGCCGCCGTGCGAGGTATGGCCTCACAGGCCTCCATTTCCCGAGTGAGGTAGGTGTCCAGGCTACCCAGAATTTAACACGGGGAGATGACGACCAGCAGGCGGACCAAAACACCTTCCATCGTTGCCTCTGCGCACACAGACACTCGAAAAATGTGCGTCCCAGCATGCTAATTTGCGACCTCTTCACTCATTCGTCCCACGTCCCAGATGCCTCTCCTCCCTCAAGATGTGAAGCTCCATTAGAGCAGCGGTCCCCCATGGACCAAGACCCGAGCTTTGTAGATTATGACTTAGTTTCCTCCTCGCGGGTATACATAGCATCGTAAATGTCTAGTGGGATATGGCCGGTTTTTTATGAGTCAAACGCCCGATTGCAATTGGAGTAACGCCATTATCGGAATTTGAGGCGAGGTGATGTGGTAAGATTGAGGTGGAGGAGTAGCGTAAGAATGATAGATCCGACATTGACGAGAAGTCGTCGATTTTAGATGTGCTTGTGAGTGCTTTTGACTTCGATTTGGATGCGATTCTTCTTGGCTATCCCAGATATGCAGAGCATACTGAGCCATTACACCGGCACCACTAGAGGGTGGAGAATTCGTCTTTGCCGGCTATCTGGAAGTATGTGGGATTGGTTAATTATTGTGTAAATAATCTGTAACATAACAAAAAAATACAACAAGATACCATTCGCATCCCTTACATCATTGCCATATTCACCCAAGTATAATCTAAGCCCCCTGAGCAGGTAAAACCATTCAGTTGGAGATACCAAGTGTATACGATCATATACACCACCACCCTTTAACACTTATATCACAACTTATACAACCAGGTAGGTTTCCTTGGCCTACAGGCAGAGAAGATGTGTATGTCTTACATAGTCATAGGCTCAGAAAGGACAATAAGATGAACTAAGAATAATTTTTGCAACCGTGGGAGACTATTCTCAACACCCGTCAGTGGTATCCTCTATGAACACCCAGCTCTCACAGTAGAGTCGGCAGATCCAAGATTGAGTAGCACCGTCCTCGCCTCGATGACGTTTCCAGAACGTTATGGTGGCCTGTATCGTCTTCATCTCTCGACATACCCCCCATCACCATTACCATGAAGTCAACCGCGATTAGATCAGATGGTGGGGTCGAAGCCCTTCTCATGACGAACCTTTGATCATGGAGGAAAAGCCATCTGAGAGTTTCCACTGCTACCATTTCTAATTAATTTTGGTAGAAGGTCTCATAGAAAAATTAGCCTAATTCCACGGGTAGATACTGAGCTAAATGGTTTTTCATTACGTGCAATAAATTAATGATCTTTGAAGTAACAAACTAGATAGGAGCATTGTGCAAGGTGTAGCCTGGACTAGAAAGGAGCCCAATGTGCTAGATAGCCTGAGACTCAAGTAGCACAATAAACATACACCTCCCTCTCCCTCTCTAGCAGGACAATAAACAAATCATATAGAAAAATTAAAACCAGCAGTGATGACTGAGGTGTTCGTGTCGAGACACAATCTCCACTTCACATCTCGCCACCTTCCGCCTGAGCAACTGTTAACACCATCGTGGTTAGGTGGTGCAGTAGTGTTGAAATTATGGAGTACAGAGATAAGTGAGGTGATGGTTAATGGCAGTTATTGGTGAAGGGGTTTTTTTTATTTTTTTATCATTATTATATTAAAGTCCTAAGCTAAAGCTCTAGGTCCACTATCGGTACAAGACTGGCGGAGCCGGCGGGGATCACTGCTTACAGGCCCAACTCATTCCAACCGCGTGACCCGCTACAGAAAAAGTAGCAGGTAAATTATAACTCAGAAACTATAATCAAAAACTAAAATCAAAACTAAAAGCCAAAGACTGAAATCAAATTAACAAGATTTTTCATGTGGTCCGGATCCCGCGCTTCTCGCCCGTTCCCTTTCCTACCACATCTGCCAAATGACAAATTTACTCAATCTCCGCTGAGAGCAAGAGATGAGATAGCAGGTACTTTTTATCCAGCCGGTATCCTGCTATTGGTTAGTATATGCCCCAAAAGGGACATCGTCGAGGTTGCTATGTCCTCAAACTTCTTCTTCAAATTCCAGAACTCCGAAACTTGTAGCCTCGGCCATCGAGACGTCCTTTGCAGCGGCGGTGATTGCCTCTTCGGCCTTCTTTGCTGATGCTCGTGCTCGTACCACCTTCGCGAACTTTCCTTGTTTGATGTGGCGGATCCACGCGAGCTGCTCTTTGGTCACCGGTCCAGACTTTCTGGGTCTGACTTTGCAGTCCCGAGAATCCGATCGGTGGGGTCCCCCACAGTTGCGACACTTTGTGAGGGCCTTGCACTCGGCTTCCGAGTGCATGTTTGATCCGCAGTTCCAGCACGCTGGGGCGCGGGAGCAACCACGGGTGGCGTGGAAGGCCAAACAGCGTTTGCACTGTTCAATTTGGCGACGAGGCTGGATCTTTGTAGCCGCTCCGGACTCGTCGAGAATTCGGAAGCCCACACGAGGGGCGGAGTCCCGGTTGAAAAGGGCATACCAGTTTCTGTATGGCGCTCCAGGACGACATGTCCCGTGCGGTCGCACCTGGCATGGACGTCGTTGTGTTTTGCGGTAAATCTCCAGTGAGATCCTACCGGCATCGACCGTCTCAATACGGTTGATTAATTTTATAGTCGCTGGAACATTCGCGATCCGAAAGGCGACAAGGTTGGAGGCTTCCTCGATTTTGGCATTGAAGTCCGACAACTTCGGTGAGGCATCTAAGAGCTCTTCCCTTTCATTTTCATCCGCTGTCAGAATCGCAAATCCGGTTCTGACACGGTGTATAGAGCTTTTTTCACTCAAGGTGTACAGTAGCCTACTACATAATTGATGCCTTGTGCCGTCAGGCGAAAGCTGGCGCCATGGGTGATCGCTCTCTGAGCGAAGGAACAGTCGTTTGTCGACTTTAGCCTTCGGAGCTTCTTTATTTTGGGCTTTTGCCGCAGGTTGCGGAACAGCCTTTACAGTCGGGACTGCTTTTTGTGACAGTCCGTTTCTGGCCACCGTGGCCCAGGTGCTTTTTATAGGCAGCGCTGGGACGGCGGAAATCGTTGTGCTCCTGACGTCGGGAGCCCTTGGGATCGGGTTCGCCGGGCGAGGAGGGAGGACGGGTGGCGTGGAGGCCGGGCCCGTGGCCATATATTGCGCGATGGCGGTGCGTAGGTAGACTCTCATGGAGTCTACGAATTGTCTATTTGACCCGTTGGTCAAAGGAAGAAGGGTGACTTCGACGCCAGAGATGGCGGCGGAGCAAAGGGCCAGATTTGCCGCTGTTTCGGCGGCACGTCGTTGCTCGGCTTCGATAATGGGTTGAAGTTACGGAGGGCAATCTGCTTTCGTGGCAGCTTTGGGCTGCGACGTTGATTTTGACGCTGCTTTGGGTGCAGCGTTCTCCGACAGTTTTGGCGCGGTCGGGGGAGATTTTGACGATTCTCCAATCCCGTGGGGGACGGAGGATGGTTGAGGAATTTCCTCAATAATTTCGACTGACCCGATCATGTCAGTATCGGGCTCAGTGACGGTGGGGAGGGCTTTTTCCTTCCCTTTGGTAGAGACGTTGCTCATCTCCGCGCATTTCGGAGACTGGGCAAGGCCAGGTAAATGTTGGAGAGCCCTCGGGTGGACTCTCGTGTTGTCCAACTTGACGTTGGGGCGCTTTTTGCGAACTGGAGGCATGGTGAAATGCCTGAGCTCGATCACAATTCAGAGATAGATGCGACGAGGTCGAGAAGGGAGGAAAGAAGGAAAAAATGAATTTTCGAATTTTCGAATTTCTCGAATTGATGAAGGGTTTAATTGTTGACTTTCTATTATTTCTGTGTTGGGATACACTCTGTCGATCCTACTAGACTCGATAATTAGTAGTCCCGACCGACTGGTATTTGGCAAACGGATATTGCGTACAACCTGTGCTAACGTTGTTTACTGCTGTTAATAGGAGATTTCGCACGGTCTATCTATTGAGATTAAAAGGAATCTTACCTGTGTTTAGAAGAGTAGTCGAATTGACATCCTTTTATCCTTCATTATTGCATAAGCTTCCCTCTACCAATAAGCCCACGAACTAAGTAGTGGGTTATACAATTCAATAAGTAGTACATTATTTGGGCTACCATAACAAATAGAGTCTGGACACCTTGGCCACCAGTTCCGCTAAAGATGAGAAGTTTCTGATTCTATTTTTTTTTGCATCAGATTTTAATTGCGTATGCAGTTATCTAGCTATGACACAATATCAAAGAAAAGTACAGAAAAAATGACTCAATTTACAAGAGGAGCACTCATACCTCGGATTTCATTTGCAAGTACCACTGCGAAGTTATGGCGGCTTTTTCTTCACCCCAAGTCAACCCTCATCCGTGAATACCCACCCAGCGGAACGTCTCAAAAACCCTGAGTTATCCAGACATGCCTCCGTCATTCATAAGATTTTCTCCGCGCGAAATATGATCTGAGATGTCTCCTTCCTAAGTGGAATAGGTGCCCAGGCTACTCAAACTATACCAGAGAACACCACCGGGAGGCGGGTCATAACACCTTCCATCGTTTGCTTGCGTTTATAGTTTCAGCTGCACTCTAAGTCACTGATTCAATTCCATGATACTCGATCACCTGTCTTGCGATATAGTTGTGTATTAATAACGAAGGAATATTTGTGTGACCAATTGATTTGAATTTTATTTCGCAGTTCCCCGTAATCGAGGTTCGAATATTTCATGTAAGCGAATATACTTCACAGTTGTATTTGCTTTCGACTCCGATTTGAATGCGATTATCATTGATTGTCACATATACGTACGGCAATCTGAGCGATTAAATCGGCACTGCAAGATAGTGAGTTATCTGTCTTTGCCTGAATCGAAGCACCTGAAGACGTATTCAAGCTAGAATGAACTGGTCGTCCCGTAATATTGTTTGTCCGAAATTAACAGGGAATGGATGGAAACTTGAACCCCACCCAACCAATTTTCGAAATCAAGTCAGTCAATATTCCTCAGTCACTTTGTGTATCCAGGCAATCCTTTCAAACAATATTTAAATTAGATATTCCCCTATTCTATGTCTAATCCGGCCGACAAGCCAGAGACAACTCATGTCTCAATCCCAGATCCAGAATCTAACAAATCCCTCAAAGAAAATGTTTTAAAAATATCTTCTGATCCAACTAGTCTGCAGAATGAGGCAATACAATGTGATGATTCAGACTTCTCTGATCTGTACGAAGAATCAGAGGAAGAATTTTTTGACGCTGCCGACTACGACACCAGCTCAAAAGATCTCACTAAATCTTTCAATCGTCATCGAAATCTGACACAAAGAGTCAACACAGCCCCTCGAACCAATCCACAAAGGCCCGCCGCAAACACCCTGATTAGTGTTGATGATCAATTTTCTGGCCTAGCCAAACACGCAAGCAAGATTTGTTTTAACGGTGAAGGCGAAAGAAATAAGACACATGGAAAAGACAAGTCAGATCGTGCTACAAGCGAACAAGTGCTTGATCCTCGGACGAGAATGTTATTGTTACAAATGATCAATAGAGGTATCATTTCAGAAGTAAACGGGTGTTTAAGTACAGGAAAAGAAGCCAATGTCTATGGTGCACTCTCCACACCTGAATCTAATGATGTGACGAATAATTCGCCAGTTCATAGGGCTATTAAGGTCTACAAAACGAGCATACTTGTTTTCAAAGATAGAGATCGCTACGTTACAGGAGAGCATCGCTTCAAGTCAGGCTATAATAAAAGTAATAATAGAGCTATGGTCAAAGTTTGGGCTGAGAAAGAGTTTAGAAACCTAAAAAGATTGTACTTAGCCAACATACCTTGCCCTGAGCCATTATATCTTCGGCTTCACGTGCTCGTTATGGGGTTTCTAGGTGATAAGAAGGGCTGGGCTGCACCACGTCTACGAGATGCTGTACTGCAAGGTGATGATACGGAAGAGCAGTGGCGTGCTCTATACTTACAACTAGTTGGACTCATGAGAAGAATGTATCAAGTCTGTAAGCTAGTACATGCAGATCTCAGCGAGTACAACGTCCTATATCATGAGAAAAAGCTTTTCATAATTGATGTATCTCAAAGCGTTGAGCATGATCATCCAAGGTCCTTGGAGTTCTTGAGGATGGATATCAAAAATGTGTCAGATTTCTTTGCACGAAAGAGTGTAAATGTACTATCTGAAAGGTCCTTGTTTAATTTTATCATTTCAATCGAGGGCCCAGTACAAGACCCAGTCTTAACTGAAAACTTAGAGAAACTTTTCATCAACAGGCCAGTTGTCAGCGAGAATGAACAAGATATTGCTAGACATAAAGTTGATACAGAGGTCTTCCGTCAGCAATACATCCCTCAAACCCTCGAACAAGTTTATGATTTCGAGCGTGACGCAGAAAAAGTAGCGAAGGGTGAAAAAGAAGAATTAGTATATCAAAGTTTGTTGGCAGAAACAACCGAAATACCACTCCGGAATAAAGAAAAAGATATCGTAGATGAAGACAAAATTTCAAATTCGAGCAGTGAAAATAGCACTGATGAAGACGATGAAAGCAAATTTGAAAAAGGGACACCTCGTGGGAAAAGGTTTGAAGACAAAGACTCGAAGCGGGTTTGTTTAACTGCTCCCAGCTGACATACTTTAATAACAAATAGTAGGAACACAAGAAAACAGTGAAAGAAGAGATGCGTGAGAAGAGAAAGAATAAATTACCCAAGCATGTCAAGAAAAAGCTCATTAGTAGCACTGCAAAGCACAAACACTGAAAAACTTTATAAGTATCAGCACTAACGCCGTCGTCTCAACCTAGTCTTATGCAAGCTTGAATACAGCCCTGTTTCTAGACTCAGGGATGAACAATTTACAAGAATTTGGATAGTCTGAAAATAATTGCGCTATTCTTAAAGACTAATGAACTATCCGTACTTTGGAAATATAAATTATCTCCATCACCGAAACGCGATTTAAGCTATTCAGATTTTGTATGTCAGATTTCTATACTTAAAATATTGTGTCTTTCTCAATGATAATATCCTCTATCCGGATGACGAAAAAAATACCTTCTTGTCCAGTAAAGATATGAATGAAGCGTTTTGCCAAATTGTGCGAAGCCTCTGACTGTCAGCTGGAGAGAAGCTGAGTGCTTGTTTCACAAACTGCAAGTCTATGCAGACAAAAGAGAGCACAGACGGGTACCATCATCTCCATTCTGTCGCTCTGAATCCTTCTAGAATTTTAACATCCAGTAATATATCTTTTTCAAACTAGCCTCGAACAAGGTGCTCGGCTAAAATTGTTGCTCTGACGTTGATTTATTCTTGTGCACGGACTGTAAGTGCAGCATAGGGTCAGAGCTTCTATTTACATTTGAGAGATCAAGTTGCCATATAGAGTTCACGACTCATACATAGATCTTTATCTCCCTGTGTACACTACATTTATTAATTTATGTTCTTAGAGGTATTCAGTGAATCCCATTTAGTAATTTATTCATTCGTTCTTTTATTCACAATTTCATTTCCAGTAATATAATTAAAACAAGATGCAACTACCGACGACATCAACATTAATGACATGGCCTGCTATAAATCATGTTAATCCAGAAACAAGGGGTCCTGGATTCTCAATTATCAACTGTGCCCTACTCCCCATCACTCTATTTGCATTAGGGCTGAGAATATATGCGCGGATACGCATTAATCGCTGCTGGAGGATCGATGATACCATGATTATTTCAAGCCTAGTACTTTTATTTTGACACGAATGAATAAAGAGATAACTAACTTTCTTAGATACCAACCATGGCACTTTCTATTCTAGGTCTCGTATGGGACGCACAAACTGGCTGGAAGCACATTTGGGACTACTTTGCGACCGATCTGATTTCAGGTCTTCGATTATCTTTGGTATCTCAGATACTCCACATGACAGCAGTAATTTTGATAAAAGTATCAATTTTGATGTTAATAAGGCGTCTACTTTTAGAATCACAAGTCTTGGTCAGAAAAGTAATAGATATTTTTGCAATTGCAGTAGCAACTATAGGGCTCTTACTCATGTTTCTAACTCTCCTACAGTGCAAGTATGTATAAATCTTTCTTCGATACCTTGTACCTAATAAGGCATAGCAAAATCTCCGACTACTGGTCACTATCTCCTCGGCCTCAGCAGTGTATTTCGGAGTGGAAACTACTTTTGACGGCTGGGATTGCTAGCTTAGCCACTTCACCGCTACTGTTTACATTATTTCTTTTACCTCACTACCGCACCATAACGGCTGTCTTATTTTTGACCAGTCTGATTGTCATGATAGCTGGATCGGCCAGGACTTATTACCAACTTTATGCTGTTCACTCTCCTGATAGAATATGGGACCTTTATCATGTTTGGATCGCCGGGACAATTGAAATATACACTGGAATGGTATGGCCACTTTTTTTCCACACTTCATTATCTCTACTCGTCCCTGACCATACAAACAGATCATTATAGCCCTCGCACCAATACGATATCTTATAAGCCCGATACCTGATGACTTATCATCACCAGGTAGCACTGACTCCAAGAAATATAACACTTACAAGTCGGGCTACTACAACAAGGAGAAACATCCCAAAAATCCCATACACTCTTTTCGATTCTCTTTTACAGAAGCGGTAACCAGAAGAAGCGAAGTCCCGCCTCTCGTTATCAACAATGACTTCTCCCTCTATCTACAAGGACATGTGGAGGGCTCGCATAAATTATCACCCATCGCCGAAGAAAGCTCAAAATGCAGTAAACTTGGTCTATCGCTTAGACATTGGAGTTACCGAAGTAGCATTTCTTCCTTTAACGTTGTTCCCCACACCTCAAGCCTGAAACATCCTTTGCCTGCAACCTTTTATAATGATCAGACGTCTGATGTAACAATCTCACCTAGAACACCTCCAGACTCGATGGTCAAGAATGACGATGTGCTCCAAGTTCCTTCTAGGGACGCGTTGGCTAAATGTGATCCGACTTTGCAAAATAAGTATTACCAAGAGACCCGAGGTCAGGGGGTAGCTCCAGCGAAAGGTATCGACCGATCTCCATTGGGAAATGACGCATACAAGCTTTCCACATTTGAATTTGAAAGCAGCCTAGAGCGCAACCAAAGTGTGGCGAGCTCCTCTAGTTGGATAACGTGGAACAGCAGTCGTGGTCTTCCGTGAGAAATTGAGTTTAGGAATTTAATTAGACCTTGGACATGGAATATCCCTAACATGCCTGTCAGGCTCTATCTTTTGGCCTCCGCATTTTAGTGCGGGCAACAAGAGAAAAGCGGGGGTTAGTGGAGCAATAAATGGGTAGGAAAAGATCATAGAAAAAACCTGGGACACAAAGTGGCCCACGACAATCCCTGCACAGCCATTCTAAACGAGAACATGGGTAAGAAAACCACATCTTGCTGGGAACAAAATTCGGGCAGCCACACGATTCTGGAAAGCTCACAATGAATGTAATATATTCATAGCTATGATGGCAATTCAAGGGTGAGGGGGTGATAAAAAATATATAATTAGTAAACTGTACACAAGGTAGAATATAAGATGAAAAATAATCACAGAAATTGCCGCCTAATCAAAGCATCACTCGTCCGGCATTTGAAACATGAGTTGCGGGGCTTACTATGCACGCTGCCGGATGGGATGGACAGGGTATATGATTGCGGCTCAGTAATGTTCATGTGCGCTGATAAGGCTTTTCGCCGGGTTTACTATATCATGTTTCATCCTGGCCGGCTCAGGGAAACGAAAAGGACACCATGAACACACAGCCTGTCATGGGCTCGGACGAAGGGTCCGAGTTCATGCACGCGAAGTGGTGGCTCAACGCAGAGCACAGGCGTCGATGACTACGCCGGCGCGACGCTATCATATGGCGGGGCTGGAGCTGGCGCTTTGGAGTATGATTGATTTGGACGGCAACGGACAGAAGTCCAAGTGGTCTGCGGCCAACCCCGGCAAAACGGGGCCAGGCCCATTGATCGGAATTGCCGAAGCGTGCCGGCATCGGACTAAGCGCATACTGTGTATGTTGATACGAGGCTAACACTAATAGGTCAGATGAGGATCTAAAGGCAAAGCGTGGCAAAATACCTTAATGCCTCAAATAGGCCCAGCTATCACGTTTTATTTCCGGTAACAAGGCTGAGGCCATGGCGCAATGGTTCTCGGCTAGTTCCCCGTCTGACCCTCGAGTGCCGTTTATTCGGATCACGTAATACGAAATGAGGGTCGCGCCTGCACTGCCATCGGGGCAAATTATTACATAATTACAATTGCCGAATTTGTCCCGGGCGGGGTTAGTGTAGACTTGGACGCCGGTATCTGCTAGAGCAGTTGTTGCAAGGGACTTTGTGAATCTCAACCACAGAAGTTGGTCACATTCTATCAATCTGCACTCAAAAAATCTCGCCTTCATTCCTACGAATCTCAAGGTCAGGCTCTCATTTTGGAGGGAGTTTCGGGTGGGGGTGGGAATGAAATTAATTGGCAAGCTATGATGAGGGATTACAGGCGCGCTTTGAGCATGTGGCCTACCGTTCTCCATCTCGTAGACCACGCGGATGAGTGCCCGGAGCTCACTTGATCCGATGCCGCGATAAACTAGAGCATTATCATGTAGCCCTGCGCCGCACTCACGCTCACAGCGTAGGGCGTGCGCGTAGGCGCGCGCTGGGACGCTTTGTGGACGGATGTTGGCATTGGACCTCAAGACCGATCTAGATTCTTAACGGGGGTGAGAGGCGACAATCTGTACTTTTCTTTGATATTGTGTCATAGCTAGATAGCTGCATACGCAATTAAAATCTGATGCAAAAAAAAGTGTCTGCATGTTGGGCCTCATTGTGCACGCGGTCACGGCTCCCTCTTACTCCGCCGTTTCACGCTCGGTCCACAAAGATTTTCTAGCAGGCAACATGGATGGTGTCATACTATGGCACTACATGGAGCGTAGGCTTGGTGGCCAGGCCTATCCCGTATTACCACTAGGCCAGACAAAAAAATTGACACAGGCGTTTGATGGCATATACTGCTGCTTACAAAACAACATTAAAGGCAGCTAGAGCAGCACCACCTGCATGGTGTACAACTCCAAATTTGGTCTTTCGAAGAGAGTCAGGTATCCCAGCGGCAGGAATCCTTCTGGACCAGAGATGACTACGCTCAGCAGCTCGTACTCAACACCTGGACGTATGGCATCCCTGGCACTGAGATCTAGGGAGGCACCAAAAGATGCGATAGAGCGTCTTGAGCTCCGGGCAGGCCAGAAAGCTCGACCCATCACTGTCCCGGAGCGCTATCTGCCACGACTCCAGAATTGTTCTCTGGATATACTGATTGTAGAAGGCCCTGGAAAACTTCCATACCCAAAAACCAATGCGGCCCGGTTCCTACCAGGTCTTGAAAGGGAAAAGGAATCGGACTATGCAAAATATGGATGGAAAATCTCTCGCCGGAGACGGTATGCGCCTATTCAGACGGCTCGTCAAGCAAGCCAGCGAGATTTGCATGGGGACACGCATTATACAAAGGAAGTAGGCTAATCGGAAATGGTGCGGGTACGATTCTTGGAGCAGAAGTGTACGACGCAGAACCTTTAGGCGCTCGGAAAGCCCCAGAAGAAGCTATAATATTGGCAGGAAAGTTCCCTATTAAGGTACTCCTCGATAATTCTGGAGCTGTCCACTCCCTCAGAATAGGCCGAAGCAAGTCGTCTCAAGCCATAGTCGACCAATTTACAACTCTATTCCGCATTAACGGGTTAGCAGAGATACGATGGACTCCAGGCCACTCCGACATTCTTGGGAACATCCATGCCGATAAACTGGACAAATCAGCTCTGAAAGATGCTCCGATTTTCACAAATGCACTGGTTATCTCGAGGTCAAACTATGGACAAAGGTTCCATTTTTGTAGCGCTAAACCAATACGTCAGAGGCCATTGTGAGGAGTCTATCGAAGCCTGGTGGCGTAAAAATAGACCTAGTCGATACAAAGACCTAGACTTACTGATGAAACTAAAACGTCCACCAGAGCTAGCTCTCCCAAGATGGGCGTATCGTCATCTGATGGCAGCTAGGACTAGTCATGGAAGCCTCTCCAAATACCATTAAAGGTTTCACCACGAAGGAATAGATTGTAGGTGCAAATGTGGCCGAGAAAGGCGCCCGTGGCATTTTTCGGAATGCCGGAAAGCGCCAAATCAATGGCGAAGAACAACGAAGGAATCAGCGCCAAGTAGATTGACACTGTTAGGAGAGAAGGGGTGGGTAGAATTCTATCGATTTCTCACCGTGACGGGATCCTATGGGGAGCAAAGTAAGACTGGTGAGACCGAGGTCTTTTGGGATACAAATAATACAGGCAAACTGTAATAAGGAAGCTATTTAGACGCAGGGCGCCGAGTCAGGGCATCGAAGATTGCCCTCGAAATATTTGGTTTTTCTCATTCATGTGAATTCTTAGCTATATAAAGCTAGCTTCAGTGGTGGTTGTGGGTTCTCCGGAGACACGCTCCCGTGTCGGGCCTCCTGGGTGTAGGGCTTCAGCCTGATACGCTGAATTGGTCAATTCAATGGATGGTGACGTAGAAATAGCTGCTTTCTCTGGTAGCCGTGGATGCTCTATTCAAGCAATAGCCTCCCCCTCCCAGTCGCGCAAAAGAGATGCTCCCAAGTCTCGAGCTTCCCCGTTTCGCTACATCGCCGCAGCCGCATTCTTTCCATGGCTTTCTGTGCCGTATTCTCCGCTCCCATCACACCCCTACTCTACTAATTAGCGATAGAGGTCGTTCATCTGCAGATGGAGAGAGGATACTGGAAATATATTGCGTCGCCTTAGTGGCAACAATTTGCTTGAATTTTCCACTGACCTCCTTTCTTGGAGCAGGTGGATGGGTGATAACTGCTTGCCAATTTCAACATGAACTATGGGCCATACTGTGGAGCGTGGTGGTGAAGGTCTACTCCAACCAAGTTTGTTTCCTCCCCATCGCACGAGAACGTGGATTCTTTCTCGCCAGACTTGTCTGCCGCGTTTTCTCCATGGGAGTTTGAGACAAATGGGGGTGTGTTAAGCCACTCTACTTTCTTGGTCTCTATCCGGTTGTAAAATCACCATCAGCATCTTTAAAAGCAGATACTCAGTATAGCCATCTTCTCCGTCTGCTGCCAATACCTCCCCAAGCAGTAACCAAGCACACTGATAAATTTCACGTTCAGACTGATGAATCTATCGACGAGGTGAGATTTGATTTATAAGATTGTCCACAAACAACCACAGGAAATATGGGTGAGTTTCACCGGATTATGTACATTTCGCGTTGAATTTCAAATCAGCAATTGTGCATCATACGCTGCCTCATCTTTTTTCTTCAAATTCATGCTTGGATGTATCCCAGTATTCTTCTCTCTTCCTGGTCCTCTTTCTCTATAAATCACTAAAAAGGGAGATAGAGGTGTGTTTGTTGTACTACTTGAGTCTTAGACTTTGTAGCACATTGGGCCACTCTCTGACCCAGGCTACACCTTGTACAGTGCTCCTATCTAGTTTGTTACTTGAAAGATCATTGATATATTCCCCTTGATGAATAGCCATTCAGCTCAGTGTTTACCCGTGGAATTCAGCCACCGTTTCCACGGAACCTTCTACCCAAAAATAATAAAAATGATAGCAATGGAAACTGCGTGCGCAGGAAAAGATCTCAAAAGACCCGCAACCCCAGCCAGGCGAGACCCAGAAAACAGGAATACATGGGGTCCGCATATTAATATTTATCTCCATTTTAAATTTTCATTTTATTATCCTGTCGGAATCTATGGCTATGTAGGACATGTAGGACCTCTCTACCTACAGGCCGAGGATACCTATACCAGTAGTATATCCCCTCCTATGCCTCCCATACAGCTCCCCTCAAACAGTACCGCCCCTCACAAGTCTTCTTTCGATCATACACTTAGAGGAGCCCTTTGCCCTTCATTACTTCCCCTCTCTAGCCAACGAAACGATGGCCATTTGCGGGTGTATGGCAGCCGGGAAAAATCGCAAGAAGCACTGTGTGCGAGGCTCTCCTAATACCGACACGAGGACTAAGTCTGAAGACATGGTGACCCTTCTGAAGCGTTCGGAGAGGCCGGCCAGCTGGGCGCTGCAGACTTGTGTGTAACTCTGGAAATTCGCCCTCTGCCTTTCTAGCCTCCTTCCAACTCCTTCCCGAAGGTCGTGCTGAAATGTCAGAAAAGTCTTGATAGAGCGTGATTGCTGTATAGTAGCTTAGCCTAACTTCTTTTATACCGTCCAGGGTGCTGGGGAGTGCCGTTGACTCATCGACAATAGAAGCCCTCCTGGCTAATTCGCCGAGATCTCGGTCCTGGCGCCCACAAACAATCAAAAGATGAAAATCCCTCGAAAATGTCGGTCTCAGCATGGTCTTCAGAGACTTGTTACTCTTCTCGGTCCATATCTCAGCCGTTTGTCTTTCCTCAAAATGTATAACCCCATTAGAGGATCAGTCCCTCATAAGCGAAGACCCAAGCTTTGGATTTTTCGACTTGATTTCCTTCTTGCGGGTATAAAAAGCGTCGTAAATATATAGTGAGAGATGGCTGGAAATCAATGGGGCAAGCTCCTGTTTGTAATTGGAGCAACTTCTTTACTAGTCGTCGAGGCGAGATGATGCGCGGTTAGAAAGATATTGAGGACTCAGATGAGAATGGTAAGAGAGGCATTGGCGAGAAGTTGTAAAATGGCGATATGCTTGAGGTTGCTTTCGACTTCGATTTGGATGCGATTATTCTTGGACATCTCAGATATGCAGAGCATACTGAGCGATTATACCGGCACCACAGGAAGGTGAAGAATTCGTCCTTGCCGGCTAAACGCGACCTTATCTTGCACTAGATCTGCGCCCAATTTCATACTACCTCGCACCTGTAAAAGCATAAGGGAAGCGCTCAATAGTGAAAAGAAATTAGATTACAGTGAGGAGGGGAGTTATTCACACTTGCAAGGAATCCCAATGATCATAAGAAATGTGGCAAATTCTAACAAGTAGGTCTCTGTTCAAGATTTTTTGTGGTTTTGATCCTGCAAGGCTCTACACGTGTGAATTGAGAGCCGTAGGGTTAATGGAGTGTCGGTAAATGGATCATACTTGAGCGGTATGAATTGTCCTATGTAAATGATGTATTCAGCATATCGATAGGACTCTGAATTAGCTCATTAGCGATGCGCTCGGTGTAGAGCAAGAAAGAGGGTAGAAAGAGGAAAGGAAGAGACAGCGTTATATGTATATCGAGATACCAGTTAATTGACTTTTTTCACCGACCTCGTGACGGCACTCAATTTGTATTACTTCGGGTTTTACCAAAAGGAAGCAAACGCATGCAGTTCTATTTAGCTTAAATGCCAACTACTATTCATCGAGCTGGCTTTGATTTGTAGCGCTAGAAACGCAGGCACACACCGAGCTGAGAATGAGCCGATGTTGGACAGCCGCGTGCCACATAGATCATTGCGCATAAAGCGGGACACGACTATCGCCTATCGCAGTCAGTCCAGGACCAGCCTGGGCCACGCGGGAAATGGCGACTAGTCGAATAGGTAAATTGGCTATCAACACCGTCCTTCCTCGCTGTTGGCAGCAACACGACTATGACCTTGAAGTAAGTTTCTCCCGCCCGCCCGCGCTCTAGCAGAGGCTAATGGCTTCATTTAAGGGTGGAGTTTATGAATAATGTGCCTCAAGAGTACACCACGCCGCCCTGGCCCGCATTATACTGGCCCCTCTATGGGCGCCCCGATGTCGCCAACTACCTCTACTACACCCTCGACATCTGGCGCTTCACCCTCTTCTGGACCCTCATCTTTTACGCCGGCACGCATGGCATGGTGGCTCTCGTAGCTCTCGTCATGCAGGTGGGAAAAGGGCACCTCGCCTGGCAGTACGCATGGATTATTCCCGTGTCGCATACCTTCGTCGCCATGTTTGAGGCCGTTATGGCCGGTAGTATTGTGGGACTGACGTAAGCACTGTAGCTGTGCTACAACTCACATGTACACCTGACCTAACTTTGATTATAGACTTGGAGCAGTTTACGAATCCGGTTACTTCAGAATGTCCACTTGGATTCCCTTTACCTGGGGTCTCATCAACGTATTGTTTTTGGTCATCTCCTCGTTTTCATTTAGCGGTGGCTTCTAAGTACCTGTGCGCCCTTGTGTCAGGGATATCAAAGGTGTTGGGGTTAGCTTAGATAATTTATGTGTGTAGTCGCCTTACACACAAATCCTTCCATGTAATCAATTATTCTCCCAACAACCATGTAGTGGCCTTGACCGCACTTGTTACCGTTACGTATTAACTACCTGAAATAACACATGAGCTTCAACATGGCTGAACTACGTGCAAAGTTCCCCACGTCGAATACGATATCTTCACCCGAAGATTACGCGAGATTTGGGGACACAACCGATCAAAATTAATCTTCATGAAATTCTGACACTAAGATGCAATGAAATAAATTTATCGGGAAGTCTTGCGGAGTACAAAAAGATCTAGAAGCTTTTGAAGAGGAAAGAATTTATAATTATAAATTTAAATGAAGAATTAAAACACAGGTTAGGAAATGCCCTGCTCAAAAAAAAAATCTGAAGAACTCTTCTCACAATCTTCAGGTTCAACACCTGCAGAATAATGAAACAAAAAACAAAGAGGGACATGAAATATCCCCATTATATGAAGTTTTTGGCCATGCAGAGCACCTCGAGACATTCGAGAAGGATCAATGGGCTAAGCTTAGGCAAATTTTAGACTGGTGGCCTATGTAAGAGCAACACATAGGATATGTGATATCTATGATTAACGGGAACGAGAAGAAATAGATCAAATATAAAATTAAAAAAGGGTTCATCATGTTCATAGACGTAGAAAATATTATGAACCATCTTAGGTACTAGTTTGGCTCCGTTGTCGAAAATGCTTCAGCTCAAACCATGATCACCAAGCTGGAACAACAAAATCAATTAATACCATACTTTCTGCCGAAATTCATTAGCACAGCCAGGAAAACTGGCGAGGATAACTATGCCTGGAAATTCCAATTAAAAAGAGTTTTAAAATCGCAGATAAAACTCTGATTAACTTTGATGCGATAAATAGACGCTCCTTAGGAGATTAACGACTACACATTACATTTCCGCAATTGCGAAGCGGAATTACGTCACTTAAACCCTTCATATTATAAATCAAAATCTGAATCAACGCACCATGGTATTGTGCAACTGTTAACGCAAGCTCCACTCAAGTCTCTTCCTGCTTCAAAAGAAGATTCAATGTATTTAAGCCTAATATGGTTCCTCGAAGATATACAGGATAAACGTCGACCAAAGAATTATGTAGAGCACGAAAAGAGTTTTGCATCACCTTGGCGAACCTGCACGGGTTTTACACCACATACAGACTGTCACTCGCCTTCCATTTCCTTCGTCACAGGTATGCTACCCTCTAGTGTCCTTATATAGAGTGGCACATGTGGGACTTTGACCGAAGTCCAGTCTGAGGCTGCCTCGATAGTGATGTTTTCTTATTGGAAGTCTTGCCCAACTCCAAGAATTGTTTCTCAAAGTACATCTGAAACGCATTTAATTGCCAAGCCTGATCTAAATTGGAGGATGTTGGTGATGGCTGAAATAGCTATTCCAGCTCGCTCGGTGATTATTTTCTTGATTGTGACTGGTGATATCTTTCGCCAGTCATGATCTTTTCCTATTCGAAGAAAGAGTCGTTTATCTTCTTTCGGGGTCTCCTGTCCGGATGGTCTTGTCTGCGCAACCGGTCTTCGTTTTACCAGATCGACTGGCGGGTCTGGGCTACTGTGGCCCACGAAGAAGCAGTCTCTTTGGGCTTTCTTGGCATCTCATGGAGAGGTTTAGTCGCCCTAGGGACAGAGGTTTTTATCTGTGTATCTTCTCGGGATGGGTTCTTGCCTTGGGGAATCGCAGCATTGGCGTTATCTATCGCGAACGCTGTCACGATGAGTCAAATATTTTCAATGAAAGGCGCGACTAAGGACGCGCCTTCGGTTCCTGCCTTGGATTTCGCCCAGGCGTCGATGTTTTGCAGAAAATCCTGAGCTAGGCTCATTCGCTGCTTTCTTTGGCGTTCCGATTGCTCCATGACGGCAGCAATCCCAAGAAGGCTCGGGTGTAAATGGTCGCCTAGGTCGATTGACGCCGAGGACGACGGTTGGTTGTACGCAGCCATGATGCTGCTTAATCTCTCTGGTTTGGGTACGCGTGTACGGGATGGAAGAATTAGATGAATGCCCACCAGGCTTTATTGCCTAGCGAGGATAGTTATGTAGTTTTCATTTCTGAGACTGAGATCTTCACGATTTGTTTTCTGTCTTTAGGAATAGTTACATAATCCTAATCACATCTCACTCTCGTCCTCTGCCATCCATAGTGACCTACCGTCACCTCCGGCCACTATTTCTAGAACGACTTCCCGCTTTCCCATTTACAACTTCTCTAGAAAGCCCTCCGCGTTCCCACGAGGCGTCCTTCCTCAGTACATCGTACGCTACGCCCTCTCCTACGCCCCGAATCTTGCGCCTAGTGAACCTGCGCCTAACAGGTCGCAATCGCGGATCAATTGTGGTCAGCCTCCCATCAGAGGCAATGCAAACGGAGGTAGTTTGACAGGGTCTTGTCATCAACGCCATGCTTTTCATCGCGCAGGTGTGGTCACCACGAGCCCAGTCAAAGCAGTGTTATAACTATAGCTAGTGGGGACACACCCAGGCGTCGTGTGAGAAGGCAGCTAGGTGCGGTGAGTGTGCAGGCGCTCACCAAACCCGGGACTCTCCGGGAAAAAGGATTTCTTGTGCGAAATGTGGCAAAGAACACCGTTCGTGGCAAAAAGCAGCGTGTCGGACTTATCTAGTCTACAAAGGAAGTGTAGAGAAGGCTTGGATAGAGCTGTTATCGAGAACGGCGGAAATATGGGACGAAAAACAAACCATGGCGCCAATGCGAACAGTCGGAACGACTGACGACCAGAGATTCACTTTGGTCACCAGTAAGAAGGTCGAAGGATCCAAAAGAGGGCCGGGAAGACCACGCAAGGTAGTCGAAGCCCAAAGTGGCACCAACCATCTCCACAACAGCAGCACCACCATCGGGGCCAACTCTTCGGATTCTTCGACGACCAACGCCGAGTGAGAAGGTGCCTTCTCTTTTTGATTTCTCTTAACTTTAGTCTGATTGAGGGGGGAGTTAACAAATTCTGGGCAAAGTTTATATAATTGTGTTTGAAAGGAACGGCCTCAGCATTAAGCCGGGTCGGCTCACAGTGGCAGGACATCGGGGTTTGTTCGGGGAAAATCTTTTCCCTTACCAAAGCGGCTTACCGTCTTTATGGATCTGTATATAGAAACCGCATAGGACGTTAAACTGGAGAAATTCAATTCATTTCAACCATATATCCTAGTCAATAAAAATGGAAATCAATTTAAAAAAAATGCCATGCTGACCTCAGGCGCTACGGACGTAGGATTTTTAGACACCTCTTTCGTTTCTGAGAAAAGTCTTAAATTGTATTATCTAAAAACATCTCGACGATTTGACGTGGTCGATGACTGACCTGCTGCAGCTGGCAATATATCACATGTCATAAAAATAAAAATTTGCAATGGTGATTACATCGGAGACATTGGGCATTTCGTTTCAAAGTTAGCAGAGTATAACTTCATACTGGGAAAACCGTGGCTGCAGCAATACAATCCCGCCATTGACTGAAGAGAAAATGTCACAACATTCTGCTCTATAAACTGTCGAGATAAATGTTGAGGATGTAGTATGCAACATAATGTAAAATGCCTATCATCCAAAAACATATATTGATACTGTCGGAATACTCGGGTGGTATTTATATCACAAGCTTTCTATAGCAGTAACAACAATTGGTGGTTAACATATATCTTGATTCTTGTCCTTCTAAAGGAAACACGTATATACAGCAGTTGTGCCTCTCTCCTGACGCCATTCCTGAACAGGCAACTCATTACTCATCATCATAATTAGTCATCATTTCTAAGATAATACATGAAAGGTCATAAAGTCATTAAGCCTTCGACAGATACTATCCAAACCACAGATGGACCACGTCCTCGTCATCTAGGTGCATCAAACTTGTAAGCTCTCTCAAGGAGGATGTCGAGCTGTTTGGCTGTTTGGCTGTTCCCTTGAAGAAATAGACTTATGAATAGCAGAACTTGAGAACATCTTCAAATAGTCGACTTATGCAAAACCAGCCGAAAAAGAGATGGGGCGTAGAGAATTTCAAAATCATAGAGAATGAGAATTTTGATTTTAATGCCATGCAAAAATCTTATAAAATTATTCCTCGGCTGTCGACAGCTTGCCTTTGCTATCTGCATCGAATTTGGCTGGTACCACAAGCACGTACCCCACTCGCGCATCTCTAGATGATATTCATAAAGCATGGCAAATACAACCAAGCCTGGATTCTTCAAACTACCTACTCTCTATCACAAATCTCTTGACGTCTCCCATGAGTGTCACGAGACCGAGTACCATATTAGGTTAGTGTGAAGTGTGTGGGTATTTGGTTGTATCTCATGAACATAGACCCTTTTACTTTCCCATCGCACAACACATTCATATCCTCAGAGAGCAAGACTGAACACCTGTACGCGGTGTCCTCTACGAACCTAAGAGTGAAATATTCTCCCTGAGCCAAGTTCAGTCAAATTTCGCAATATCAAAGAAGTTGGCCCACGAGGCAAAATTTAAAATTACTCCACCACGTCGTTTTTCCGCTCCCAACGAGTTTGACGCCTACCTAAGTCTCATCAAGTCTACAAGTAAGACCTAGTACATCCTCATCCCAATGACCACACCTCTCTTTGACCTTCTCTGGTTTCAGTTGACCACCAAATACACGCCCACGCCGATATTTATACCCGACGGAGGAAGCAAAGCGTGGCGCACAAATCTGGGAGACAGTTCTTTGGGATGGACGTGAGAGGGATCAGGACAAGTTTATGAGATGATGCAAAGGAAGGATATAACCTTGAATGGAATGAAATTCCGAATTTTGGCAAGCAGTTTTACGAATTGAGCTTTGTGCGCGCCAAGACTTCGTTTGCGAGAGTGCAGCTGACACTATAAAAACAAGCCAACGATGGAAAGTGTCGTGGTCCGCCTCCTGGTGATGTTCTCCGGTATAGTTTGAGTAGCCTGGGTACCTACTCCACTTGGGAAGGAGAAGCCAAAGACCATTTTTCGCGCTGAGGAAAGAGAATGGATGACGGAGGCATGTCTGGATAACTCAGGGGGTTTGAGACGTTCCCCTGGGTGGGTATTCACGGATGAGGGTTGACTCGGGGTCAAGAAAAGCTACCATAACTTCGCAGTGGTACTTGCAAATGAAATCCGAGGCATGAGTCCTCTTTGTTTGTACTGAGTCGTATTTTCTGTACTTTTCTTTGATATTGTGTCATAGCTAGAGAGCTGCATACGCAATTAAAATCTGATATAAAAAAATCGTTAGGCTCTTTCTTTTTTTTTTTTTTTTTTAAAATCATTAAGTGTATGCAGCCTATCTAGCTATGACACTGAATCGTTAGGCTCATAGATCTGATATTATACCACTTTATGCCAGTTGGCACCATTCTTATTTATCTTTATTTAACGTCTGGCGGATCACGCGTCAAGCGAGTAACCCTATTAAGTCCCTACTGAGACAAAAGACGCGAGTTGGCACCATTGTCAAGAACTATTTCACCTACTCATGTAAACTAAGCTATTCAGATCACATGACCTCACTATCAGTACATAGACTTCATCTACAGCACTACGGCCCTCTAGTCAACCTTTACAACTCAATACCGCGTCCCACGTATCTTTCATAAGAACTGTGGTAAAGCAATATAACTACGAATGTACATCTTTGGCGTGAGGAACGTGACACGTGCACCCATTGTGCGGTACGTGCATCGCCCACACTTGAATTCCTTTCAAATTTATATCATTGAATGCTGCACCTACATCAAGATTGGTACAAATCCTGGCTCGGCTAACGTGGCATAGAGTTTCTTGAATTAATGGAGAAGGATAGCCACTCTTTGTAGTGATAAGGTTAAGTCCTCGATGGTCTGCGCAAAAGCCAAGTCCATCTCCAGGCTTTTTTGCGAATAGCACAGATACTGCTGCAGATGAGTTGCTAGCACGAGTATATGCTTTTTCAGAGGTTCTCTCATTTAGACTTACAAAGTACTAGTAGTTTATCTTCAGACACACTGTAAGGGGCTGGTGAGGTGATTTTGTGCCTGGTTGAAGGTTTACCTTATAATCACATTCTCGGCGAGGGTGCAGTTTTTCTCCCTCTTCCTCCTTGTCACAACGGTAGATCTGGTTTGCTGGATAGGTAACAGGAATGGGTCACGAGGATAAGTAATCAGGATAGGTAACGAGGATATGAACTTTTTTTTTTGCATCAGATTTTAATTGCGTATGCAGCTATCTAGCTATGACACAATATCAAATAAAAGTACAGAATAGATGATTCAACGTAAAGGAAGAGCACTCATGCCTCAGATTTCATTTGCAAGTACCACTGCGAAGTTATGGTAGCTTTTCTTGACCCCGAGTCAACCCTCATCCGTGAATACCCACCCAGGAAAACGTCGCAAAACCCCTGAGTTATCCAGACATGCCTCCATCATCTTTCAACTTTTCTCCGCGCGATATGTGATCTGTAAATTAATCTCTTAATAACCACGTATTGGCCTTGGGCGCACATGATACCCTAACACCACGCCCGGAGCGAAGAAATAGTGAGATACGCAAGGAGGTCTAACCATCTAGAGGACAAGCCTCGATTTTTCGAATAACTTTCGCCGGATTCCCTGCTACAACATGGTACGCCGCAACATTCTTAGTAACGACGCTTCCGGCCCCGATAACTGCTCCCCTCCCAATAGTGACCCCCGGACAAACTATGACATTACCCCCAAACCAACAGTCTTCCTCGACAGTAATAGGCGCTCCTAGCTCCGGGCCCTTGACACCGTTCCTCAGGTATGGGTCGAGGGGGTGGGTAGCAGCGAAAAAAGAACAATTGGGCCCGATTAGGGTCCGCGAGCCGATGCTTATTTGACAGGTATCGAGAAAGGTGGAATTAAAATTTATATACACTCCTTTACCGAACCTAGATCCGTTAGAGGACTTAGAATCGTGGGGAATAGGCCGGCTCACTTTAGGTTGCTGCCGTAGTCAGCGCGAAAGGGACCTTCGATTATGGGGTCGTCGACAAAGAGGGCAGCGTCTGCTTCCGGGCTTTCCTGAGGAGGCGGCAGGGGCGTAGGGTCCGCAACCAGACTATCATCACCGACCCTGTATCAGTAGATTCTATCAGAAAAGCCGCGGCAAAAGCGAGCTTACTCTCTCCAGAGTCGTACAAAGTCCCTTCGTGATCCTGCCATGAGCGAATTGAGACGCTGGCAGGCAACACGGCTGCGCTCTCGTTGCGCTACGAGACGCGGGGTGAAAGCGTAGTAGAGCTCCCCATCCTGCATGCGCTTCTCATTTGTGTCCTCGTCAATTTCTTCCATATTGTCGCGATCCTGGTCTCCGGTGTAAACTGGATCTTACCTGTAGCTTCAATCTTCTCTCGCCGCAATCGACCTTAGGGACAGACGGGATTTCCTGGGCACGTGATGCTAGTGAAAACATGACGTCTAGTAATCACTAGGTTGCCTAATGGTGTAGATGCTATACGGTATGTTGTGGCGCCGTCATGCACCTCGAATGCAAGAAAAAAAAAGCACCTCAAGTATAGTAAAGTTTAAGACTAAACACATAATTTCTGCACCATCAGTCAAGCCTGTGCCAGCAAAGTCGAAAGTAGTCACAAGCGTCTCTAAGATCACCGACTTCACATCCATGTCGGCCACATCTTGCTCACGCGAGTCCTCCAACTCGATTTCGCCACATACCACCTCGCCTCAACGACCGACAAAAGAGCTGAAACAATGGAAAACAGGAGCTCTCTTCCATGGTCATCGGCCGTCGGCCATCTCTCAATACAAAATTACGATGCTACTTTTACCCGCTTGAAGGGAACCATGGCGTAGTACAAGAAGCTCGGGTCATGGATTCTAGGGGACCGTTGCTCCAATGGACCCTTACAATTCGAGGGAGAAAAGTCAGCGTGAATATGTAATGAGAGGGAGAAGAGGTCCCTCATGGGAATGCTGAGGCTCCCGCTTTTTGAGGGGTTTCGGACTTTGCTATATTTGGGGGCGCGAATGCTACGCTTTCGCATGGTCCCACCGATACTTCATGTATAGAATGCGCCAGGCTTGCCTCGGCAGATTGAGGTGAGAAAATAACTTTGCTCACTCCTTCATCCCCTAGCGCAAGTCAGGGCATCGACTTAGAAATTTGTTCCTTAGTGGGAAAGATTAGAAGATCCAGGCGAGGCACAGCACACCGCACCTGAAAATTATGATTTTATGATGTTTTCTTCGTGAATCATGTTCAGTCGGTGATCTTGCTAGGAAAGAGTCTCTTGGGATCACCCGCGCGTTTTATATCATATCACTTTTAGGGCTTGTGCCTGGTCGAGTAAAGCAACAATCAATCAACCCTCTCATAACCGTAAGCCACACTTTCGTGGACCTCGGGAATAATTGTGTAGAGCTTGACTCGTCGAACAAAGAACCACTAGAATAGAGCCTCAGAAGTTCACCAGCGTTACGAAACGGAGCCTGACCAATCCTCGGCGAATCTATGCAGCATATTTAGGACAAACAAGAGCTGACCGAAAAAATGATTGAGTCGCAACCGGCCACAGTAGTCCATCATGTCGCAAAATTACCAGGAAGATTGGATGCTTGCACCGAGATGATTTGTTCCGAAATCAGCCGCACGGAAGATATTCTCCTCGGAATATGCGGGTCCATTGGAGGGTATGGAGACCATTTCCAACAGTTGTCAGTGGCGTCTCCTACGAACCTCTAGCTCTCACTGTGGAGTCTGCAGGGCCGAGATTGAGTAACAAAGTCCTCACTTCAATGAGGATTCCCAATCGCTTTCGCCTTCTGTATCGTATTCCCCTCTCAGCACATTACCATATGACCGTTATCATGAAGCTTCGTTGTTGAGGGAAAGAGATGAGGTTGAGGTTTACGGACCACGATGTGTGAGACAACTAAGATGTGGACGTGTGCGTTCCTTACTATCATTGTTTTGTCCTACATAATTGTAAACTCAATAAGGGCAAGACCCTCTGTATCAATTGGAAAATATTAAAATTTTAGCAACCAAAAAGCAAGTAAATATTGGTAGCAATTATCTGTTTTAAGCAGTCCCTCATAGTCATAGAATTTGAAATCTTTTACGTGATAGAACGAACCAGACATTTATTTAGACGTGACACGCGTAGATGGGCTCTGAGAGCTCATTGCTACCTACATGACCGGCAGTGAAGCCAGAAGAAAAGAAGAAAAAGGTATAGGAAATGTCTGAGTTACGGTGCCCTGCGCCGCATCCATGTCTTCCACACCCATCTTCTCTCGGGTCAGAAACAATCTCAGCGTGGTCATCTCTCACCCCGTCCATTCTATGGTAGACTGTAACATCTGCTTGTAGTTAGGAATTGGACGAACTTCTGCCATCCCTTTTCCCCCATCATCGCCTTGGCTCTAGGTGAGGCCATTTTTTCACAGCTTCTCCAGCGTTGCAAAGCAGGTCGGCACTCTAAAAAAAAGCCTGGGCATTTTCTCTCGGCCGCAAACGCATTTCAGATGTTCATGTTCGGGGTTGAAACGTCGATGGTAGCCGGCGTAGTCCCCGTGGCCTGTTCTTGCCGCAATATGACGATGGTACGCCCATCTTGGTAAAGCTAGTTCCGGCGGTCTTTTGCAACGCATGAAGAGGTCCAGATCTTTGTATCGTTTCGGCCGATGCTTCTGCCACCAGTCTTCCGCGAGCTCTTGGCTGCGCTGTTTAACCCACCTCCCTAATGCCGCAAAGGTCAGATGTTAATCTTCTCCACTGGGCGCAGCTGAGGTTAGTGACCGGTTATTGAGAGCTCCGAAGGCTGATTTGGCCAGCCAATCGGCCTCTTCATTGCCTTGAATCCCCACATGGCCAGGTATCCAGCGTATTTCCACACGCTTCTAATGTCTCGCCGATGAAAGCTTGTCCACCACCGACTGCGAGGAGTTAGATCTTCCTCTTTCGAGCGCCTGGCTTGCTGGGTGTCTACCCGGCCAGGCTCCTTCGCATCCACACCAGGACGGAGGCTGAGCCGCTCCTAACACTCACGTTGGCTACAATATTACCTGCTGTGGCCCTGGTATCCGCCATCTTGCCGGATGCCTTCATTGGGGCTATGCTGCGGCTTCAGAATCAGACAAGAGTCACAATTCAGTCCTGATTGAGTCCGTGGCTACGAGAGACATCTGAATTCTCCCTACAAGCTTTGAGGCCTAGGAATCTCCAGAATGGTTAATATCGTCCTCAGAGCGCTACGTATGATAGCAGAGACGGTAGATAGCGGCGCGAAGGGGGAGAATCTTTCGCGCAGATACTTCAACCTCAGTGAGGTAGTGCTGATAGTGAGCTGGAAGCTAGTTAGTGTAAGAGTGTCGCGTGTACGGATTTTAGTGATATCCTCGGCGAGACTTGGTAGCTTGATTCAAGGACCGACAAGAGGAAAGGGGGGGGATGGGCCTGAAGAGCCTCTCGACGGCACAAACAACCGACGTCTATCATCTTCACGACCAAAGGCAAAGGCGACAGTGGCTCGACTTCATTCGTAGTTGTGTCGCCAGCGTCTCATCTGATCCAGACTATTACGCAAGTATCCCTACTAGCGATTTCCCTATCGCGCCGCCCATCTCTATTCATGCCTCTCGACACTCCGCGGAATCAAGAATGCCGGCCGAGATACGAACGGGCGTCGAAACCGTAGCCATCGCTCTGCCAGACTATTACGAGCTAGGGAAATATGTTTAATGTACGGTCTGTATTGCATTGATTTCTTGGGCCACCGAGACCCACGCTTTAAGTTCCACTGCAACACGAGCGAGACGCGATATCTCACTGACTGGTGAGCCAGCGTGTGTGATATAGGCCAGTGCTAAGCTCGATCTGGGAGGACCCAGGTGAAGGATGAAAGTTCTGCGACATTGAGCCATCGAGAGAAAGTGTGAGGTAATGTCGGTACTTGTTGAAGTTAAAATTACTCGTGGATATCGATAGCTCAGTAGATCAAAAGCCATTACGTTCAAAAGTCGAGCTCCAACCATATACATTTATGATGACGGACACGATCCCGAATATCCTAAATTTAGACATGCACTAGGCATATAAAACCTACGATTCTAAACTAAAACTACTGGTACTGACTAGAACAAACAGCCCATTTGAGGCCAGTTTCTAATTTTTCTCGCAGATATTCAGTATAAATTCCTCGCTGACTATTCGTAGCTTTCAAAAGAAAGCGAACGAAGCCACATTGAACGACTGGATGAGGTCTTAAATGAGGATCACTTGTGAATGAGATGAGATGCTACGATGAAATTAGGCTAGGGCAAAAAGGACGGACCAACATAGAGATGGCGAGGGTGTCAAGAGCTTAGCAGCGTTATCTTTGAATCTTTGGGATTTTTAGTTGGCGTCTTTAAATGGCTTCTCTAAAACGCTAGACTAGAGATAATTCAGCACAAGGGTGGGTTCTTGGAAGGGTCCCATTATGTAGGCTCGACAACATACTTGTACTTAATTGTACTCAATCTCATTCTCAATGAGCTCAGTAGTACTCGAGCTTAACAAGGAGTATGAAGGGTGCTAATTGCCAATTACGGTAATAAATATACATACACTAATGCCTACCTAAGACAAGAGGGGCGAGGGACGTTCACGTGTTCTAAGCGCATCTAGGAATATTCATGGCCAGCGGACTGAGGCACAAAGCCGCTAAATATCACCTATAGGAAAACGTTGGCGCTAGACGAGATCCTTTTCGAATTAGGGAGACTAAAGGTGACTTCGGTGTTTATGGTTTGCGGTAGTAACGTCGCCATCCTTGCTAAAGAATACCTTTTCTCGGCCCCCTTTACTTTCCCACCACGCGACACAAGTCAGACTCTTCTCCATGTCCATCTCACCACCCACAAGCATCTCCCAAAATCGCTGGCGACAGTAGTTTCTCATCGAAGAATCGGAAACAAGGGTGATCAGGTCAGCTGACAAAGGCAAATACGTCTCGAGAATCGCTCGTGAGACACAAGGAAGCGAATCTAGAAGTGCAAGAATAATAACTACTTGTTCAGAAAAAGAGCCATCTTCCGCTCGAGAATCTTCCATTGTCATCGTGTTCTCGTCTGCTACTAAAGGTATAGTTGAAGCAGTAAGAGCACGCTGATTTAACATTTCGAGTAACGTTTCAGCCATCAGAGGATGATTCGCAGCTAGCGGAGTGGGTGGTGTAGAAATTTGCACGAGAGCTTTGAAGGCATATCTAAATTGTCTAGGACTCAGGCTATTTGGAAATGAAGCAAATAATTTCTCAACATAAATTGGTACTAGCTTAGCAGTGAGATCAATATTGTGGGGAGTGGCGAAAACAGAGAGCATGGCACTGTGAGCGGCTTCAGAAATCTCTCGAAGCTCTGGGGATGTGATAGTCAAGAGATATGGCATCCCTACTGCAACGATAAAGTATTCTGATTCGGCTACTTGGAGGCAGCTAGTGAAATGTTCGACTGTGTTTAGGTAGAATAAGTCGTGGTTTCTCGCCAAAAATGACGACGCGACGCCTCCAGCGGCTGAAGGGTAAATAGAGCGAAGAAAGATCATTGTAGACTTCGGAAATTGAGTCAAGATATCAATGGAAGCGAAATTGATAAATGTGTAGGCCGAAAGTTTGTTTGAGCCCAGGCGAGAAGAGATAAAGTGAAGGTTTTTCAGGATAAGAAGTGCCTGAGACGCCATGACTGGTGAATGTGTCTTGGATGAAAGGATGGGATCAATTAGAGTCCTGCTCATAATGGCTTGTAATATTATAATTGTCGCAAACATAGCAGTCTTCAATAGTTGCCATAGAGTTGGAAGTGTACCTTTTTTTGTCTGCAAAGTTAGCTGGAGCGACTCTTCCACCAGACTCAACTCGGAAAATTGAATTCTCTGCCATCGCTCGAGCAAAGAGCCAGTAAAGGCTAAGAGGTTACCACTAGCTTCAGATATTTTTGATGGTAACCTTACATGAGCGATCGCATCAGCTATCAGCCGTGACAGTTTTCCCATGGATTGGACCAGAGGTTTTGTACTTAGTTTTTTAACATGCAGAAATGAAGCTGATTCTGATGGCCACTCGAGTTTTTGATCCTCTCCCCTTATCATATCAAAGTCAATGTGGGCCAAAAACTTTCCATCTTGATAGCCTTCCATTGAGGTCATGGCTCTTATCAAGAAAGGGAGCAGATTGTCATAATCCAAATAATGTCTGGTGATGTCTGTGAGCAGAGGGAAAATATGATTCGTGGCTAGGACAACAGAGTCTGCGGCGATGATTCCGATACTCCCAAGTTGTGGGAGTGCAAGATTTATTGCAGTCACTGTCGCGTGCTCGAGTGTGTCCTTTAGTCCATTAGAGATGCCAGCTTCGCCTGAGTTGAACATTCCCAAGAGTACCCCGGATAGGACCAGTACATGTCGCCATCGTGGACTTTTCTCATTGAGCCCTCTTACCACCGCCTTCACCCAATCATCACATCCTATTCCGACCTCATGTTGAAGGCTATGTGAAACAGAATTGTCCGGTTGTCTTCCAAGGTTCTGTCTTTGCACAGCTGACGCAGTCGTATTGAAAAGACTTATAATTCGAAGACTTATTTCCAAATCTTCCATGCCATTCCAGATCGCTGGCGCGGTGAGGAGATGTGAAGTTAGGAGCGTTAGGTTGAGAGGGTTCTGAAGCGTAGCGAGAAGCTGAGCAGTGTTTGAGAAAAGAACATTATACTGTTCTGGCTTTGAGACATCTTGATATGCACTAAGAACAGACGTTAATAGTCGATCTACCGGCGTGGTCATTTTCCTCACCCTTTCAACACATAATGGGGGTTGATTCTATCGCTGGGAACTATCCTGCCTCTTCAGGCACTCATTCAGGCACCACATTTTAGGATCTTTCGTTAAGCCCGATCCATGTGATTATCTCAAGAAGCATAAGTATAATTTCTATCGGAACCAAATTTCAGTCAACTTAAACGACAGAGAAGAAGTTTTTCCTTCTAGGCAAGAAGTCAAAAATTTCGAGCAGCTCAGTATTTCGCCGACATTTTGATTCTAAAAAAGTTGTTATCATTATGGGGTTGAAGATGACGTGTTTTTGTCTGGATTTTGTCACTTGACTACACGAAAAAAGTCGTAGGGCGTATTTTGAAGTTTAGACTAAACCTATGGAGAAGATTATTGATAATCAATGCAAACATATTTCTGACCGATGATCACACTAGATAACTTGCCTGGCACAGCCCATAACCTCATTAGATCTAAGAATTCGCCACTATGTTCTCTGAAGTGACCAGATTTCTCTGCGACTTTGTGAAGATTCTGGTCTGGCCTTTTTGGGCAAGACCCTCAATGTCTATTGGAGAATAATTGATAAAAAAAACCAAATATAAATTCAAGTAAATTTTGGTAGCATTTTGCTTAGTTTTGCCAGTCCTTCATAGTCATAGACTCAGTATGCACATAAATTCAATTATATTCTATTTCTCTTCGACTTTATCTCTCAGCAAAACTGGCCTCCAACTATGCATCTATGACGCATGGACTACTCAAGAGCACTGAAATCACAATGTCTAAATATTGAGAGGTAGATTTCGGTGGAAATGTGTGACCGTGAAGAAAAAACTGACGCCGTAAACTTAAGGATTATAATATTGGGCATGGTACGAAGGTAGGATCTTATAAAAGGGGCTCTACTACTCAGTAGTAATATACACGACAAGGTTATATTTACCGTACTTTACCCAAAGACACAGAAATGAGCAAGTTCAGACAGTGCTTTTACCTGTCGTCTGGGAAATTCAATGGAGGATCAGTATAATGTACCAGGATAACGAGCTTTCCCGATTCCTGCATATATTTGTTCGAATCTTGCGAGTTCTTTTTTGCCCAAACTTTGCCTGTAAGATTCTGCATAGAATAACGAAATATCGCCCCTCCTTTATAGGGTTTCAAATTCCACTTTGGAGGAGCTCAAGGGAAAAGACTAGTTATGTTATTGTTAAACATTTGCTTTTTTATGATTTTTTTCGAAAAATTAATGCGTTACATTGTCTAGAGATAGATATGTTACATGTAGATTAGTTTGAAAATGTTGATCATTAAGCCTTGCTGTTTGTTTTTTATTAAACGTCGAGCCAGTTCAGTCTATATAAACTGTCCGACGTACCAGCGCTTTTTTTCCCAAGCCCGATATGTGACCTTTGGGCCAAGGCCACCCAGCCGGGGACCCAAACTATCAAAAGACGTCATAAGTTCTCATCTACTGAAACTATTGATTTTCAGAAAGGTACAGAAAATTCTAATATATGTTTACAGTGAAAATTACCTATCGCCTACACCAATTGCCTACTCACATGGCCTATAAGTTATTCGTCGCATAGAGTACAGGTTAGTGTCGACGTTAAATTTCTTCGAAGAAACTGGTATCATGAAGCCATTCAGAACCACAGTTAATCGCAGTCAGTCGTGTTGTGATGGAAGTTTGATAGAGAAGCTAGAGCTGTTCGACTCATGTCTAATCTCACCCAGTGAAGCAAGTTTGGAGTTTGAAGAGTTTGAAAACTGTAGTGTAGAGTTGTTGATAAACCCCCATAGTATCAGAGTGCTATATAAAACTCATTATTATCATTAAGCGAAGGATACGATTTACTTGCATAAACTAGATAATTGTGTGGCTGGTCAATGTAAGAGTTACATGAACTTGGCTAGTAAGGCTCTCGCCATTTCACGTCCCATGTTAATAGTAGTCTTCATCGCCAAGTAGCACTAACTTCAACACGTTCTGCATTGCATGCTCGATGCATAGTAGGCTTGAATGATGTTGCTCTACAGAATTGGAGGGCGTTGACGATGGTGATGCAACGGCGGGGACCATTTCACCGGATGATGGATCTCTTCGGGATATATGTTAATAGATAGGTAGAAGTCTGGGTCGGTGATGGTTTGTAAATCTTATTGTAGTTTTGTGTACTGTTTGAGAGAGGGAGATATATTTCTTGTACTACTTCAGTCTATGAATATCTAGCACATTAGGCTCCTATCCTCTTCTGTTACTTTAAAGAACAGTGATATATTGCCCGCGATGAATAGCTATTCAGCTCGGTGTTTACCCGTGGAATTCGGCCTCCTTTTCCACGGAACCTTCTAACCCCCCCCCCCCCCCCCCCCCCCAAAAAAAAAAGGTAGCAATAGAAACTGCGTGCGCGGGAAAAATTCTCAAAAAACCTGCAGCCCCAGCCAGGCGAGGCCTAGACACCGGGACCACATGAGGTGCGCATATTCATCCATATCTCCCTCCTTTGTAACAGTCGAGGCTGGCTTGATCCAATCTGCCATCTCCGTATCGGGTGCTGGGTACGCTCCGGAAACTCATCGGATAGCATCTCCCCTATAATGAAGGGTTGGTGGTGAGAAGGGCTCCGACCCTACCATCTGATCTGATCGTGGTTAGCTTCATGATAGTGGTGATAGGGGATGTGTTGAGAGGTGAAGACGATACAGACGATACAGACCGCGAAAGTGATTGGGAATCCTCGCCGAAGTGAGGACTTTATTACTCAATCTCGGCTCTACAGGCTCTACAGTGAGAGCTGGAGGTTCGTAAGGGACACCACTAACAGGGGCTGAGAATTGTCCAGCTTCGAACGAGGGTTGACTTTGGGTGAGGAAAAGTTTGCAATAACTTCGCAGTTGTAATTACATGTGACATGCTAGAAATGAGTGCTCCATGTATCACCTGAGTCATCTATTCTATAGGCTTACTCTGATAGTGTGTTATAGCCGGTTAGTAGCATGCTCTCTTCAGATTTGATGCAGAAGATTGTGACTAAGAATAGGCGAGATTCACTTGCCCTTCATTAGCTCGACGGGAGGGCTATGACGAGATGCGGTAGCTTTCAGATAATCCCAAGGTAATGTTTGAAGGTTTCGGAGTGTTAGTGATTATTATTCGGCATTAACAAAAGTTCTCGCTGCTGACTGTGAGGTTCGAACTCACGCATCTCTCGATAATGGTGAAGTGGGTTACACTTAAAACCACCGCCTTAGACCACTCGGCCAAATCAGCTTGTGCTGACTAACTTATTTGCGCATAATAATACAAGTAGTGCTTTGCATGCTTCAGAAATTAATATCCTAATTCACTATCATTAAACTAGACGTCTTTCTGCTTAAAGAAAAGGGATAGAGGGCCAAGACTGAATACCTATCGGCGGTCTCCTCCACGAATCTTGGAGCTAATGTTCATCCCGACCCAAGTCTAGTCAAATATCGCGATACTCAAGAAGTTGGCCTACGAAGCCAAGATTCAATTTACTCCATGTCAAATTTTCACTTCCTACATGGTTGATTCTGACCAACGCTTCATCGAGTCTGCAGATATGATCAAGCAATTCCTAATTTCAATCACTAAAACTCTCATCGACTAATCTCTGGCCTCGCCTCGCCACGATACATACGCCCACAAAAATATGAATACCCATCGGAGGAGATAAATTGTGGTGCACATGCCTGGGAGACAGATTTTTGGGATGCGTGTTTTGCTGCTCGGTTGAGTTGTTAGGAGACAGGGGAACGGAGGATGGGCTGCTGGATTAGGAGAGGGTGGAAAATACAGGCTGGTGCACAGACGCTGTTCATGTACTCTACAATCTCTTCACGTGCCGAGTTTAGTGAATCAATCTATCCAAAATAATATCATACTTCACATCGTCCATTAGATGATATTATCAATCGTCGGGATGCACATCTAGCATCACCTTCATAGATCACCATTTTCAGTAAGGGTTCACATTTGAAACCTACTGACACTCATTTGGCCACAGTGATACGCACTCAGTGTCCATCGTGCCATTACCCAGCGTGAGCGCGCCATCTCCGCGACTCACCATTGCACATGAGCCCGTATAATTTCACCGACGGACAGCAGAGACATAATTGCTAGATACCTCACAGCTCATAAACACAACAATGCGTGTGATATATATAAGGACAGATAGGCAAGGTGATACTAGTGATGGATATAATCGTCGAAGGGTTAAAATGTGAAAAATTGACAAGGAGCTTCTTCACATTGAGCGCTACATGGCATGTATTGCGAGAGTTCAGGCGATATCACAAACACGAATAAGGCTGGATGGTGCAGTGGTTAATCATCTAGGCTGAACTCCTGAGTAGATTCGAGCCAGTTCGGATATCTTTCCTAAATGATCGGCAAAATTGATTCAATTTGTACCAGAGTCCGTAGTGAATCTAAGGCTGAGAGTGGTTGAAGGGATCCAAATGAGATGCTCCAGTCAAAATTAATATATTTATACTTGTATTTTGTCCACTGTTATCCACATTGTTTTATGGATAAACGTGGCGGAAACTAGGATGGTGTCTCATGGGGAGGTCCATTCTAAAACACAACTCGGGGTTAGATCAAGTTCTCAAACAATTAGGACAGGCTCAGGAATATAGGGTCGTTTCATAGGGATTGCGTAGTAATACTGTTCGAGACAGAGCTTAGGGCTGTCCTATTATCTGATGTACATATATACCCAGCGTGAAGGAGTATTCTTCTTCACGCAACGTCTTCTGTTTATACTCATACCTATTGTTCACTTACTTATCTCTTCTCTAAAGAAGACCGCCGTTATTGTACCCTTCTCACCTACTACTTATTTTATCTTTACTTCTTATGTGAACCCTATACCTAACGCTGAATTTATACCTCCTACTCGTAGGAATCACCACCATACTCCACACCTGTAACCTACTTGTACCAAATTCGTACCCTACGGAATACTAATAACACG